ATAATAATAAAAAACATTTTTTTTTTTAATGTGAAGCATTTAGTATTCGTCTAATATGTCATTCATAGTCATTCATAGTTTGAAACATTTGTGAATTTGAAATTGAGTAATTATTATCATTGATACACTAATTTAATTAAAAATTTATGTCTCATATGATACTAAATATGGCATATCCTCCGAAAATAATAATAATAGAACAATCTAAAAGTGATAAACAAATGCGCGGGCAGCGCCTGCTCGTATACAGATATACATGTAACGACATGACGGGATTCGTATGAAAATATCAAAATTATACCTATAATTATATGTGCTCTTAGAGTAAAATATTTTTGTTATATTAAGTAATATATTGACCGGATTTCGATTTAATTAAGTGTATAATAGCAATATTAAAATAGTGAAATAATGATAGAAAAATATAATTTCAAAATATAGTAACATATTTATTCCGAAACTCAAAAAATTCAAATATGTTTTACGAGATGTAAATAATCAATAAGATTCTTTGTTTTCAAGCATTTACAACAATAGAATATTAAATTCGTTGCTTTTAATTTTTTCTTATTTTAGAATCAATAAATAATTCACAAATAAACATAACGGATTATAAACATAATAAAAGATTATAATCAACCGTTTAACAAATTCTTTTTTGTTTGTAAACAGGTTAAGCAGATTATTATAAAATTCTTTGTTATTCTGTTTTTCCCCGAAATTGAAAATATAAATATTGACAAATCATATGATTCGTGATATAACTTTAATAGTAATGATCATCACATCAAAAGGGAAAAGAGCGAATTTCGAGATATTATTATCAGTTGGTGATAATCAAATTTAAGCGACCAAATAATCAGTCAAAAAATTAAAACGTGAAGTAAAAAAGATTTATTATTTGAAGGTAAAAACATATTTGAAGTTAAAAACAAAGAACATGTGATCATTGCAATTTTTTATTCATCAGTATTCGAATTGCTACTCAGACATGTATGCCCGATTCGGATTATCACACGTTGATTAATTTACTTAAATTCATAAACAATTGATAAGAATGGATTTTTTTTTTATGTTTCACTTTATTAATCTTTATTAATATAATTATAACTTTAAAACCAAAACGCAGGAGTTTTCAATACTTTGAAATGTTTCATCTTTTTTTGGAAAAAAATTAATTTTGTTTATATTCTCTCGTGTCAATCCTACGCCATTATTGACCTTAATATGATGTTTATGCATAAACTGTTGAGCCCCTTTAAAATACTGATCCATATATTTATTTATTCATGAATTTATATTATAACCTCTTGTTTAGAATCTGCCGCTTATGCAACAGATTTCACGAGATATAACAGAAATATTTGGACAAATTTTACAAAGTGCAAGAAAAAATTCAAAAACTGCGTTTAAAAATTAACTTATCTGTAAATAAAAAACCTAACACTTCTTGGCGCAAAAAATTACGCATTGCTGGTCTGAAAGGTGTTAAGTATTGCAAATAACAAAACAAAATGTTTTTAATTGACGTAACTACGTTCATAACTGTGAACATCCATTCTTTTTATAGTAAAATATTTAAGTATGATTGTATAATATTATTTAAGGCCAAGGATCTTACAGTTATGTATTACAAGGAAACACATAACCTGAGTCAGGGACAACTTTCAGTGCCAAGGTGCCAAGGAAATGAATATCTTTTTTTTTGCAACTTAATACTAAGAAATTTCTGATAACATTTTATGAACAAATGAATATGTAAATTTCTCATATTGTTATCTACGAATATTTTCAGTTGTAGAAATTAAAAAGATTCATCATTTAAAAAATCTTTGATTAAAAAAAATTTCGGATAGTTTCATTTATCTTTTTTGAAATATTATACACGTATGTGAGGTTACTACGAAATTTTTGTTTAAATATATTCAACAAATATTCAAAATATATCGAAACATAGTGAATAATTCTTCGTATGAACACAAAAAGTGTGCTATATTTAGTATTATTACTAATAATTCAAGGATCGTCACATTATTGTTCAATCTCACACATGAATATGCACTTAAAAAAAACCCTTGCTGATTACATTAGAATTCCAAAGCATTAATATTACTGCATTAATGCATCAATAGTGCATGATAACATCAATCCTGTAACATTACAAAATTTATTTATAGGTGATGATTTGTTTTCTAGAATCATGTATATATCTGCAAAATAATGCGTATGTGATATACACATGACCAATCTTTAAATAGCTTTTGTAATCTACATTTTATTTTTCCGAATTTCATAAAAAATCATGTACCACAAATAAAAATATTGCAGCGGGTTCCCCGTCCAAGAAAATTACAAATACAAGTACAAATAGCAATCTTACTTTATAAGGTTATGAAAATTCCAGCATGCTTATTCTAGAATTCTTCTAGAAACCAATCGACTATAAAGAATAGTAGTACAAATATTTGTTCAATAATGTGCGGACTAATTATTAAATTATTATATTTTTTTACAAACAAAATTTAACTAAAAACAGACAAGTGCGAAACAATGTGAATTTATCCGCCTAAAAATAATTATGACACATATAGTAAATGTTCTCTTTATTTATCCTAAAAAAAAAAATTGTTACCTTAACATTGACTCGCTAGAAGTTATCGAATGTTAATTAAACTTGTTACAATTTATTTTATCATTATTGTTGTTTTTTTTTTTTGTTTATTTGTTTCAATTTTCAGGTCCTCAACAAAATAATATTTGTTTAAATATTTCCGAGCCCAAATTAGAAATAAACAAAAATTTAAAGAGAATTCTTATGAGCTTTTCAAAATTTTATTTAAATATTCTTACGTATTAGAAACGTATTATGTGCGAAGATCCGCAGCAAATTAAAAAAAATTCATTTTTTTACTGTGCTTCTTTTCCTTGCCTTGTTTTATATAAAAGGATAAGATTCTGTTCCTTTTAACACTTCTGTTGTTTTTTTTAAATCTAGCGGGCTTACCCGCTAAAAAAAGATTGTAACTGTTCAATTTGAGCAAATATCTAAGCCACATTACTATACACTGCATATTATTTCAGGAGTTTTGTGGGATCATCATCATCTTTCCATATAAGCCACATACTGTACCAACGTATCGATTTGTTTCAGATATTACTAAGAGTTTTTTTTTTTTTAGAGTCATAATTAACATTAAGCATAAATATTTGTTTCCTCATTTGAACGACGTTCCTTATTATATTTCGTTCGGATTTTGTAATCCGCTCCATAGTCGATCTTAATGTCCGATTCTCCGATACAGAATTTCGGTATATTTCGGTATGAAATTGCGGTATTATATTCCCGATAATCAATCTATTACTCCGATCTATAAAATTAATCGCATATATAAATATGCGAACGTTTATTTATCTTAAAAGGGACTAAAGAAAATATGTTCTTTTCCGAAATAGTAAACCATTTATATACTATATTATTTTTCGAAATTCAGGTTTTAGAGAAACAATATATAAATATAATCGAATTGCCGCAATATTTACATTATCTTTAAATCTATCCTTCTGTATTAGGTAAATTTTTTTTCAATAATTTCCTTAAACGATTTAAGTTCATTACTTCATTATGAGTAATGAAGTAAAGATTTATTATTAATATTATTATTCATACTCCAATTAAATCTTCTCGATGTTTGTTTTTTTTTTGTGAACCAAAACATAATGAAAAAAAGAAGTGTACTTTAACCTTATTTAAATTCTTTTTTTCCTTCTTAAAATATAAATAGGTAAATTATTTCCGAAAATTTATAAGATCAAAAAGAACAAAAAAAAGATTGGATCTTCTATATCTTTATATATCTTTTTTGTTACTTGAAAATCATCACGCGAAGTAAAAAAAAGCTGCGCTACCCTGCGACTTTTTTTTTGTTTGCCTGATTTGATGGATCAAAACAAAAAGATTAACCAATAAAATTTCATTTTAAAAGAATTTCAACAATACTAAAATGAGGAATTTTTTTTTTTAAAAAAAAAAAAGGCTAATCGAATCAAATATGATTTATTAGATAATCGGATATTATATTTTTATTTTCATTCATTATGCATTGTAAACTTTCGGGAAACCCGAAAATACACGCACTATGAAATAAAAAAAACCAGAAAAAAAAAAAAAAAATCTTTCAACTAATCGCAACTAATCACCGATTATATTACATTCTTATATGGAAATATGCAAAGTTCCACCATTGTAGAACAAGTAAAAAACGAATAGAATCATAAATTTCGTTCGTGTTATCAAAAGAATACCTAACATCAACATATATTATTTGTGAAATCGCGTGATCGTATATATAATATATATACTAACATATAATATAAATTGTATATTAAAACGGCGAAAAATTTTATTTTACAAGAAATTATTGCATATATAGATTTTATCACGATGTCACGTGTATTATATAAATTAAATATATTAAAATTATATAAATTTCTTATAAAGAACAATCGACTCCAGTCGTGTCTATATCTTAAAAATAAAAATAAAAAATTATAAAGTACAATCTCATTTTCGCGTATAATATAAGGATTTAGTATATAAATTATTTATCTTATTTATTTATTTATTATTATATTTTAAATAATATTCTTCATTATAAAATGAATTATTTTTATCTTTTTACTTTTTTTTTTTTTATTTATGTTTTGTGTAACAGTTTATTTGAAACAACTAAAGTTGATAAGGAATCCGAATATAATCATAGAATCTTATTTAGCTTATTATTACACTTAACTTAATATTACTACTGTTATTTTTTTTTTATGTATAAAATTTTATATTGTGTTTATAATTCTTAGAATGTGAGAAGGAATATAAAAAAAAAAAAAAATGTATACTGAAAAAATTATGATCGTCGGGTATAAAAAAGTTTTTTATTGGTTTCGAATATTACCAAAAATTTATTGATATGCAACACCCGTGTATTTGTTTTCTTTTCTTTTTGATTATATATTATATATTTTTTACAGCCTTAGTTTGCATAAAATTTAATATAAATAAAATATATAAATAATTTTTAAATACTTTAACACGTGACTAATGTTTGGAATTTCCTGAATTTACCGCGCAGCGCAAGTTTTATCGAAAGGTAAAGATTTTTTTTTTTTTGCCGAATTCAACGATTTCAATCATCGCCGGGTTACCTTATTTGGTGATTGTGGTGATTATTTTGGTTATAGTGGTGTGTATATACAACTCTACTGTACATAAGGAATGGAATATTATTCTTCAATTATTCCAAAACCAGTTTTTTTCATCAATTTGTTGTTGTGTATAATCATTTGTAGGGGATAGTATACCATATGAATGTTCGATTTCATTCAATGGGTTAAGAGATGGAGATGGTTGCAAACTATTAAAAGTAGGTGTGGTGCAATTTTCGTTTGAAAATAAAGGCGATGAAGTTGTTGATTGGAAACATAGAAAATTTGTTCCTTCGTTAGTTAAATGTCGAAAATAATCTATTTCATCATCAATAATTGGTGTGTTGTTATGAGACGAATTTGAATCGATATACGGCATTAAATTTGGCATAAATTGATTATTGAAAGTAATTGATTCATCACTTCTTTGAATTCTTGATAACGTAAATTCATTTGGAGACACGGGTAGTGAAATTCCACCTTCTTGATAATCTTTCTTCAAATGTGCACGAGGGATACGTTGAGAAGGTACGATTGGCGAAGATTTTATTTTATTATTGTTAGTTGTTTGCACAATAAAGGGATCATTAATAGAATTACAAATACTTTCAAGAGAAATTCCAAGATAATCGTTGTTATTATTATCAAATTCAGGTGGAATAGGGGAGAGAGATTTTGTAAAATGTAATGATGATGACGGATCGTATAAAGGAATAATTTCAGAACTAAGAGTTGGTATCATAGAGTGGATTGATGATTCATTATCACAAGTATTTCCTGTGTCGTTGCACCTGTCAACGAAATTTTGAATCTCTTTCCACATGAGCGATCTAACTTCTTCTTGATCACTTTCAAGAAATTGTATTCTTCCATAAAATGCATAAAGATATTCATCATTGTTTGTGGAATAACTCATTATCAAAGACCATAATTTACGTAAAAGGGCTATTTGTTCTGTTGTAGTAGATTCGTCAAAAAAAAGGCGAAAGAATAGTTGTTGTGTAGTTTCTTTTATATTAGGATAATAATGAACATTATTTGCTAAAAGTTCCGTTACATCAGATAAATTTTCTTCAACTTTAATTATACGATCATTTATATCCTTTATTGGATCTTTTTTGGTTGCTGCTTTCTTTGACTTTTTTGTTTCTTTAATTTTTATTTTACGAGGATCTTCAACCTGAGCTTGAACAACTTTCACTCTTTTCCTTCCTGGCTCAGGATAACTACATTCTACTTTATGATGACGACAATATTTGCAAGATTCTTTTGTGGAATAATTTCCATCACACTTTTTCTTATCACGTCTACAACGATAACAAGCATTTACGTTAATTCTTCCTCTCTTCTTTGCTGTTTTCTTCACGGTAATAATTTTATCGGGCTGAGCTTGCTGATTACCATTACAAGAATGTTCATTATCGGACAATTCTTCAATTACGCGTTTCCCTTGACTCATGATTAATATAAGATAGATAAGGTCTATGATATAATGAATTAAATAATCAGACTCTTTGTTCTGAAAAAGGACAAAAGATAAAGGGGAAGATTTTTTTTTTAATAGAATTTTTTTTTAAAAAAAAAAATAATAAAAAATAAAAAAAAGATAATATAAAAAAAAGATGGTGTATAATAAAAAAATAAAATAAAATAAAATAAAATAAAACAAAATAAAAAAAAAAAAATAAAAAAAAAGATGATGTGATAAAAAATGTATGAAAAACTTTCTTTTTTATACGTAATTTCTCAATGTAAACAAATTTTTTTAACTGTGTAAAAATTTGTTTTTTTTTTTTCCGTTATGGCTTAACACAAAATTAATGCGCTTTTATAAATAAAGTGGCGTGTGGATTGTGTATTGTGGTTATTTTATATTTTTAAATTATGGCGCATTTATTTGATAGACATATTTATAAAAAAAAGTTTGTTATTCAATACAAACACCCTATGACCAATTTTTCATAACCGAACATGCAAAAAATTAAAGATCGTCGAATAACTCCGACATAGTTACACAAAAAATGTTGTGGCACGTTTGTTACTATTAAAATCCATGCTATATAGAATATAAGTAATTTGAGTGGATTTATATTTAACCAAAATACCGATAAAATAAAGTATTTGCTTATGTAATCAAAATTAATTATCCTTTAATACCATTCTCGGGATAATTAAATTTACAAACAATTATAAGAATAAACATTATTTATTACAAAATTAATGCACTTTTATGATAAGTTCATACAATGTTGTACCTTCAATCTCGAATATTCTAGATAGATTATAATTTCCAAATTGAGATTTTTCTTTTTATTCCATGAAACATTTCTTTCTATCTCATGTATAAAAAAGAAATTTGTGATCAAAAATGAAATTAAAAGGAAATTGCTTGGAACAAATGATAATGAGAGCGGATCTTCCATGATAGTAAATCTTTAGTTAATTAACTGCCATGTAACATATTTTATATTTAGACTGAAGCAAAGAGAGATGAAACTTTTTTGTTCGTCCTTGTAAATAAAAATATTATATTTCTTTGTTTTTTTTTTTCTAATTTGAATTCAAGAATCCAAATATGTATAAATTAACCCCGACTATGTTTCAAAATAGAAGCAGTTTAAATTTATTATATATAATTAAGGTTAGAAATTCATGCACAAAAATAAATTTATTCTCATTTATTCTTCTGAATAATAAGATAATTATCCACTATTTATAAATTGGCGGAGATTTATAAAAAATATAAATGTTCTCGTTAGGAAATTTTATGAATATGTATTAATCTTTAAAAAGTAATCAATTTCCATAAAATATATTTGGTACATGTTTTCTTTTTTTACGTATTAATATAAATTAATTATATATAATTTAATAATTTTAATAATTTTTATATATTTATGTATAATTTATATAATTTAATAATTTTATATATTTTATATATTTATATATAATTTATATAATTTAGTAATTTTATTTTTTATAACTCTAATTTTTTATGGTCAAATAATAATTCTATAATTCTATAATTCTATAATTCTTATAATTCTATAATTCTATAATTTTTGTAATTTAATAGTAATTTAATTCAATCTTTATTTTATAATTCATTCAATAAATAAATAAATATTTTATAATTATAATAAAATAATTTTGTTATTTTATAATTTATATTACATTTTAAACTTTCTTTTAAAGTGCTAAACTTTTTAAGGGGCTTTTTTACGCACATCAATTTTTTTTTTTACAGTTTGTGCCAATAAAAATGTGGCTGGTATAGTAGGTTAAAAATTCGTTTATTTTCATTTTTGGTAAAAATAAAATATATGTCCATTATGCCGGTAATCGTATTGTTGTGATCTCCGTTCACTATATACAAATCACCGAGATTACTTTACTACATACAATCGCCAAGGCTTCAAAACCTAAAACCCATTATTTATCGGCATAACTTCTCCGTATACTCATTCTTAGTTCGAATATTTTCTTATGTCAACTTTCATCTCATCTTGATTAATTATAATTGATAATATAATAACAAAATTTTAATTATGAAAAAATAACTATTAAAGTAGTTATTGTCTTCATTTGTCAATTCATACACTGAAAGTACATGCAAAATATTACGTATCATACATAATATATAAATCCTTATATGTTATTAATCACGTCTCTTTTGTATTATATCCAATGATTTGTGTATTTAAGCATTCAAATTCATTTCGGCCCCGAGTCCGTTATTTATATTTGTGTTTCTATTAATTTTAGTAAACGTTAAACTGGTGAGAAATTTGTATTACTGTACCGAAATGTAACACACATTACGTGTAACACAAAAATCACTGAATTATTCAGGGCGACATTTAACGAACATTCCCCCAGTGAAAATTGAAAAAAGAGTGACAAATATTTTTTTCACTTCACATGAACGTGGTATTTTTTTGACGACTCCTTGAAAAACAATAGGATAAATAAAAACTTATTATCTTAATAAAAATTTAAACAGTTTTGGCGCTATCGATATATTTAGCAAACATAGAATTAATGATTATTAATTAAAAGTAATGATACATAAAATTATTGGCAAAATTCCACAAAAAAAAAAATTTTAAGCGATTTAAGACAAATTTTATTCGAGAATTTTGGAATTAGTAATTAACTTAATTATCTTTTTTATTTATTATGTAACACCGCATTAAACAATTCTTTGTAGTACAAATATTTTACTCGTGTTAATCCTTTACCCGGTTCCAATTCCCATTTGTTGGTAATCTGCCTAAACTTAATTGGTGGTTAAAAGAAAATAAACCATTTAGCTAAAATATACTAGATCTATTTGAACAGACGAATTATAAATTTTTATTTTGAACAGAAAAACTTTTGATGCCTTCAAAAAAAAAATTCATATAGCGAGGATAAAACTTTCAGTCCTGATTGCGAGAGATTTGATGAGTTAGGAGTTGAAGGAAAAAGATTAATGTTAAATAAATTTTAAATAGAGGAAATATAATCGTAAATTTTTTACACACGTTAGTGACGTTACCTTAATTTATTAGTGGAGCCATTGATCGGACAAACAAATTTGTAAATTGGATCTTACTATATGGTCTGAATGACCGGTGAAAGATCTTATTTCACTGACAGCTTATTTCAATACCCTCAGTGATGAAAAACTGAATATTTAACATATTCAACAGCAACATTTGGTAACACTGTGAAATTAGTTGAAGCATTTCATAAACAACGTTTGGGTTTTTTTTATTCGTTCCTTCTTACGACATTATATTCTATTTTTAAAGAATAAGGTAGACGACTTATTGAGAGACGTGAAAATACACCATCGGATAACCTTTACTACCGCTAATATACCTCATAATGTTAATTTTACCAAACTTTTGGTGAAGAAGCTATGAGACCTCCCCTATAAAAATTTTTTTAGAAAAATGATCATATTTCTGAGTTTCTTCGGAATAAAAACAAAAACTAGAAAAATGATCATTTATCGGAGTTTTCCAGAATTTTTTTTATAGGGCTTTGACTAACGATTCTTTGTATTATGCTTGACGGATTTCTTGGTGGAGCTGATACAGTAAGTAGATTTTATTCAAAGGAATGCTGAATTTGAAATTATATTAACCATTTCCGCTTTTACTTTTATTATAGACCGTAAACACGCTTTCATTCGTTAATTATTATCTTGCACATAATACATCAGATGTAAAAAGAGAAAATGCTAAAAGACCAAATATTCCAAGATGATGGTAAAATACGCTCAATCACTTTTCATAACTTAAAATATTGTGAAGCAATTGTAAAGAAGTATCTCATTATAAATTCTTTTCAAGTTTTATTGGTAAACTTGAAGAAGTAGTAGGATATCAATGACCAGCCGGTACAACGTTCCGAATCGATGAATATTATTGGGAATAACAATCCTGATAGATGGATATCTGAATTTGAAGGTTTTGAATCAAAAAAACATTCTTTTATCATATTTGGTAAAGGGGTAAGGATCCGCCCAGGAACATCAGGAAACTTTTTCACGTAAAATCCTCATGGAAATCCACATACGAAACATATGGTATTTTCTGCGTAGATCCACAATATTATACGTTGATCTACTGTACGTAGGATATATGGGAATGTATGGAATTCTACACATTTCTGCTAATCCATACGGAATTACGTACCTAGAAATTTCATGAAGAAGAAAGTTAGCTAGTTTGTTTGATGGCCTTATTGTTTAGGAAATATTAAATTGGTTTAATAGATATGAAAACTCCTTTAAGAACCGAATCTTCTGCTATAACTGTTTGTACCAAATTAATAAATTAGTATTTTTCTTATTTTTGTATTTGTATTTTTTTTAAAAAAAAACAAATAAATAAATAATTCAATTATTATTAGAATTACATTTTCCCACAACATAATACCACACATACAAGCATATTATACAATATAAATAGTCTAACATAAATAAGGATATTTTGCAATGTCGAAGTCGTTCATACAGAGCTCGAACTTAAACTCGTTGAACAATCTCTGGGCAGGAATGAAAGTCCGTACTCCACCACCGTCTAATATTCAAGTACTACTGTATTTCTTGAAAAAAGTATGTCAAAATCCAACGATAATTGGAGATAATTGCTAATTGCCACGGTATATAAATTATACTGTGTTCCTGGTTTTTGTAATTTCGGCCGGAATTATAAAAACCTTGGCCAACACTAAAGCATACGGCAAATAAAAATAAAAATTCTTAATGTAAACTAATAAATAAATTATACTATTTTGTTATATATACACGGGTTCCTTAATGTACAGTGAGTGTACGATATTAATGTACGAACTGACCGGAGTTGACGTTAACGCTATAACGTGCAAGTGCATAACCCCTAAACTCGGGCCAGTTCGTACGTTAATTTCGTACACCCCGACTGTACGTTAAGGACGCCCATATATACATGTAATGAAAATACAATGGTGTTCCTGGTTTTTGTAATTTCGGCCGGAATTATAACAACCTTGGCCAGCACTAAAGCATGCGGCCTATATTTACATTAAAACAATGCAATTTTCATAATTTTTAACCAAATCCTGCTAAAGCTTTGAATTGTGACTTTTCTAAAAGGAGATAAAATATGCAATATTACCTTAACAGTTAATAGCTAAATTTTTCACTAAATATTATGAGATGAATTTAGTTAGTTCTGCGTTACAAGCCTTATTATAACTATTTTTGTTAATTTATTAAATCATGCATCACATGCATCACATTTATCATCTTTGAAAATCCGCATGTAAATGAAATAATATAAATATGCCAAAAATTATTCTTCCAGACTTGTTAAAAGAGAAAGATAAAAAATAAAAACAAATATAAACGTTAACAGTTAAGATGATTTTGAAATCATTTGAGGATTTTAGAATTGGTGATTATCTTTTATTGTTGAGTACTATATTAACGATCTATGTGGCACAGTATTATTATAAATATTTTACTCGCGTTAATCCTTTACCCGGCCCTTTCCCATTTCCGTTTATTGGTAATCTGATTCAATTCTACTGGTGGTTTAAAGGAAATTTCAAAGTATTTTACAGGTATAATTATGAGAAATATGGTGATATATACGAGATTCATTTGAATGGACGATTCATAATTTTATATCGAGCGGAATATTTGAAAAACTTTTAACACCTTCGACAAAAATTCACATGTGATAAGATTTTCTTACAACAATAAGGGATTAGAAGAATTGGGAGTTAGCGGGAAAGGAATATTAATAAATAATAATTTTAAATCGTGGAAATATAATCGTCAATTTTTTGCACAAGCTATTTTGTCACCGAAATTTAATAATGAAGCTGTTTATTGGACAAACAAACTTTTCAACGAACTGGAAGGTTATTGGAATAAATTATTTCTTAAAGAAGAAATTATCAAAGAAAATCAATATACAAATGATATGATTATTAAACTGTTAACTGGGGAAAGATCTTATTCAATGGCGGCCTATTTTGATACTCTCAGTGATGAAAAATCTGATCACCCGCCAGCAATAGTCAATGATTCTGTAAAATTAGTTCAATCAATTCGTAAACATCATCTAGGATTTATATTGTTTTACTATGTTTCTCCTTTCTTACGACATTATGTCCCATTTTTTAAGAATAAACAGATGAATTACTTCAAAATATGAAATTTATTAACAGGAGACTTGATGAAATTTTTAAGAAGCGTAGCAAGAAATTGAGAATACATCATTAAATAAACCTTTACCAAATGATATGTTAACATCGGTAATTACTGCGAATACACCTCGTGATGTTAATTATACCAAAACTGTTGGTGGTGAAGCTTTGGATAGACCTATGACTTATTCTGAAATTGGTGGTATTATTTTTGATGGGTTTCTTGGTGGAAGTGATACAGTAAGTAAAATTTTCAAATAAATAAACCTTGGCCTAAGATTATATTAAAAATTCCATTTTTTTTATTTTTTTTTCTAATATAGACCGCAAATGCGATTTCATTCATTATCTATTATATTGCACGTAATCCGGACGTGAAAAAGAAAATGATAGAAGAAATTAATAGGATATTTCAAGGTGATAAAATACGTCCAATCACTGAAAATGATTTTCAAAAGTTAAAATACTGTGAAGTAATTGTGAAGGAAGTCTCTCGCATTTTCCCAAGATGTATTGAAAAATCTGATGAAATAACAGGATATCAATGGCCAGCCGGTACAATGTTTCGAATCAATGCTGATGTTATTCATAAAAATGAAGATTGTTGTGAGGATCCTGATAAATTTAACCCTGATAGGTGGATGGTTGAAGGTTTGGAGCCAAACAAGCATTCATTACTCATGTTTGTCGGTGGATTAAGAATTTGCTCAGGAAGAAAGTTGGCAATGATTGAACTAATTTGTTTGATGGCTTTACATATTATATAGAAAATACGAAATTGATTTAGTAGATATGAATTCTCCTTAAAAACTATAAGTGGCAGTGTAATTGTTTGTACTGAATTATTAGTTGAAATTAAACCAAGAGATTGAACGTTCTTGTATTTATAAAATACTGTAAATTTTTTTTTTCTAAAAAAAATTTTAGAATAAAATGTTTAAATAATACAGTTAAATTCTTCTTGAAGCTTTAAGAAACATTATACAGTAGCTTCAGAAAATGTAATACCGAGTTTTCTTCACTTAAGTTAATGTGTTAATAAGAATTCCTCTTTTATATTTATAGTGCTTATAGAGTCTTCCATCTTTAAAAAATGTATATATAAATGAATTTTTTAACCCAAAGATCAAAATTTGAGACAATAAAAGCGTCGGAACGAAGAAGCATAGTGTTGGCCAAAAATTTCAAATAGTTCCAGCCTGAAATATATATTATTCAAGTGATCCGATTTCGGCTCAAAGTGTAAGCGAAAGGCTATATAATTCTTCAAATACTGGGAATGTCCGTCCAGCACGTGACGATGCACATCAATAAAACTTAATGATTTCCGTTTCCTAGTTTACCCGGAATGCCATTTTTGATGCCGAGACTAACAATAAGTCATTCTATGGGGTAGTTACTCAACATGTAAAACATATTTTTGATTAATAATAAAATATAATTTTTGATTGTTGATTCGTCTACATTTTTAGAAAAATAAAATTTGATTGTTGATAACATATTGACAGATTTAGAGTTTACCCAACTTAGTTATACTACTGTTAAATAGTATTTATTGTTCGTATGGTTAACTATTCTTGACACGCATAAATAATTTTCGTAATTCCGAAACAATATAAATATGTTACCTGATTAGAAAAAAAGATTCTAAAATTAAAAAAAAAGAAAAGAAAACGACAAAATGGTTTTAAAATCGTTCGAAAATCTTGAAATTGGTGATTTTCTTTTGTTTTTAAGTACCATATTAGCGATCTATGTGGCACATTTTTATTACAAATATTTTACTCGTGTCAATCCTATGCCCGGCCCTTTCCCGTTTCCATTCGTTGGTAATATACCTCAATTTTATTTGCAATATAAAGGTGACACCAAGTTATTTTACGGAGATAATTACAAGAAATACGGTGAAATATATGAGGTTCAAATGGGTGGACGAGAGATAGTTTTATCTAGATCAGAATATATTGATAAACTTTTAACACCTTCAACAAAACATTTACATATAGTGAGATTTCCTGACAATGAAGGATTAGAAGAATTGGGTGTTCAAGGGAAAGGAATATTATTAAATGAAAATTTTAAATCATGGAAATATAATCGTCAATTTTTTACGCAAGCTATTTTGTCACCGAAATTTACTAACGAAGCTATTGATTGGACTAACAGAATTTTCAATGAATTAGAAGGTTATTGGAATAAATTGTTTCAAGAAAATAAAAATAAATTGGATTTTACTGCATGGTTTAATCAATACACAAAAGATATGATTATTAAATTATTAACTGGAGAAAGATCTTATTCAATGGCAGCTTATTTTGATACTCTCAGTGATGAAAAATCTGATCACCCACCAGCAATAGTCAATGATTCTGTAAAATTAGTTCATGCGCTTCGTAAACATCTTTTGGGTTTTATAATATTTGCATTCGTACCTCCTTTCTTACGACATTATATTCCATTTTTTAAGAATAAAGCAGATGATTTACTTCAAAACGTAAGATTTATTAATGAAAGACTGGATGAAATTATTAAGAGACGTAGACAAGCAATTGAAAATACATCATTGGATAAACCTTTAACAAATGATATGTTGACATCGTTAATTACTGCGAATACACCTCGTGATGTTAATTATACCAAAACTGTTGGCGGTGAAGCTTTGGATAGACCTATGACTGATACTGAAATTCGGGGTGTTATTTTTGATGGATTTCTTGGTGGAACTGATACAGTAAGTAATTTCAAAGAAATGCTGAACCTTAGCCTGAATTATATTATAATTTTTTTTTTTTTTATTTAGACAGCAAACACGATTTCGTTCGTTATATACTATATTGCACATAATCCAGATGTGAAAAAGAAAATGATAGAAGAAATTGATAGAATATTCCAAGGTGATAAAACACGTCCAATTACTGAAAATGATTTTCAAAAGTTAAAATACTGTGAAGCAATTGCAAAGGAAGTCTCTCGCGTTTTCACAGTTGTACCTACGATTTTAAGATCAATCAATAAACCTGATGAAATAGCAGGATATAAATGGCCAGCCGGGACAATGTTTCGAATCAATGCCGATGCTATTCATTATAATAAAGACTATTGGGAAGATTCTGATAAATTTAATCCTGATAGATGGCTGGTTGAAGGTTCTGAGTCAAAGAAACTTTCATTTCTCATGTTTGGTGGAGGATTAAGAATATGCCCAGGAAGAAAATTGGCAATGATTGAATTAGTTTGTTTGATTGCTTTATTATATAGAAAATACGAAATTGATCTAGTAGACATGAATGCTCCTTTAAAAGTTGTAAGTGGCGGTGTGACTGCTTGTACCGAATTATTAGTTGAAATTAAACCAAGAAATTGATTCTTGTAATTTAATATAAAGATACGGTAAATAATTTTTTAAAAATTTTGCTATGTAATCAATATTTTATTAAAGTTCTTTAAAACATTCCGCAGTAGTTTCAGGAAAATGTAATACTAAAATTTTCCTGCTAAAATTAATTACCTTTACCGAGTTACTATTTTGATACCGAAATTGACAAAGATAATAGTTTGAAATTTATTATTATTTAGTTTGTTTCTTTATTTTATTTTATTTTATTTTTGTTTAATAAATATTTGATTACTTTAAGCAATAAAAATACTGATAATCAATCACAAGTACTTATTACCAACAATATTTGCAAACACTTGTAAAATACTTATTCTTATGAATATTTTGGTTTATATAATGTACAAATATTTCACAAAACTTTTGCAATTAATTAATAAAAAATAAACTTTGCGAGATAATATTTGCTATTTTTAAAATATTTTACATGTATTTTTATATTTATATTTGCCATTTACTATTTGCTATTTACTAAATATTTCGCAAATATATAATTAAATTGAATGTAAATAGAATTTTTTACTTTTGTCCAAATCCTTCATCATGACCATAGCTTCCACGGCTACAACCGCGTCCACGTGACCATGCCCACGACTCTTGAGGATTCCAATAGATTCAGATCAACTTCTCCCTTGTGGAGATATTTTATTAAAACATTACCCAAAACTATATGGAATCCCTTGCCTTATCTGCACCAATCACCCTGATACCAATGAACACCTGGGTTTTTGTCAGAACTTACGTCCTTTTATTAATTCTTAATATTCTAATTAACTGTTTCCAACCATTGTCTTGTCTTATTCATACCTGACGTCGTTAACAAATACACCCTATTTTTACCTGTCACAAGCAATACTCATGACATTTATTTAGTTCTTCATCAATTGATTCCTCAAAACATTGTTGAAGTCGTTCAATCATTTATGAATAAACATTCAGTCACACGACAAATTATTTTTGACTTCTTCACTTCAATACAGCAATCAATATACAAAACGCAACACAATAACAAACTTCACTCTTGGAAATGCTCCCTGAATATTAACAAAAATTAAAAACGTAATTACAAACATTACCCATTCAATTTAACAATGAATCGACGCTGCGGCCACCTGAGAATTCTGCGATCTCTAATGGTCTTTTTGACCGTGCATCGATCCCGACCTCGAATTACCTTCATTCTGGTGGATGGGCCTCCTTTATTCATTTTAACTAATATATAGATTTCATTAATTATAATTATCTGTTATTTTCTTTTTTTTTTTCTTTATTTTTTTCATTTTTCTGTTTCTTCTTTTTCTTTTTCTCTTCTTTCGTACAATGCAGGTAATGCATAGTGTTGTTTTTATAAATAATAGGCAGTACGATCCTGCTCGAGTTATGTCAAAAGGGTTGGGTTTATACTTGGTTAGTGTAGTATTGTAGTTTATTTTTAAGGGCTCAGCTTCCAGACTTGTATGGCTCCCAGCCCGTCATTGTCTAAATTTTTAAAATAAAATAAAATAAATAGATTCAGATCAATATTAGTAATAAATAATAAAAAAAAATTATAATCCATATTGGGGAAAAGCTCTGCCGCAATTTATCTAACCTATTTTAAACTATTTTTCTTCCCCTTTACTCCTTTTCCTTCCTTTTTTTTCCATTTCTTTTTCCTTCGTTTTCCTTTCGTTCCTTCTCCCCTCCTTCATTTCCTTCCCCTTTCCATCCTTTCTTTTTCGTATTTTATTTAAAAAAAGTGTTGAAAACCACCCACAAAAAAAAACAAATCCTTTAATAAAATGCTTATACGTTTCTATTTTTCCTTTTAGGTGGCTCCTTCAGTCTTCTGGACGCGATATTTTGTAAGTTTTTAATTTATTTTTCATTAATATTTTAACGAACAGCTACTAACAGTTCGTTTTCATTTTTTTAGGCGATTCTTTGAATCTCTTTGACGCATGAGATTTTGTTTTTAGTAAATTTTTTACTATTTTAACATATCAAATTTTATCTTTTTTATTTAGACGGGCCTGGACACTTGGATTTTTGAATTTTGGTGAACTGTATTTTTTTTCAAATTAATTCTTTAACGAAACATTTCTTATGTTTTGTTTTCTTATTTTTTAGATGGCTGGGAAGGTTGCTTTGAAGACGGGATTTCGGCGAGTAAAATGAATTTTTTTTTTTCAACAAATTTTACTAACAGTTCTTTTTTCCCTTTTTTTAGGCGACTTTTCAATTCTTTGGATACGTGGGATGGGAGCTCGTTCAGAGCTTTTGACTCGTTGAATTCTGTGGGTGAGTTTCTTGTTCTTTTTAATTTACAGTAACGAAACATTTTATTAATGTTTCGATTTCCTCTTATTTTTTAGACGGCGCACGTATTATTTCGGTAAGAGCTTCCAAAAAAATATATATATCGATATATTTTTTTAATTTATTTCTTTAGTGAAATGTTTTACAATTTTCTCTTTTTTTTAGATGGTCATGTCCCTGGGCGTATTATCTCTTCCGAAAAAAATATTTTTTTTCTTTCTAATTTATTTCTTTAGCGAAATGTTTTACTAATGATTTCATTTTATTGTTTTTATTCTTTTTTAGGCGATTCTTTGGACATGTGGCTTAAGGTGTTGTTTTATACTTAATTTGAGTTTTCTAGTCTCTTTGGATATGGATATAAGAATTTGGCAAGTTTTTTTTTAATTCTTTTTTTATTATTAGTTTAACGAACAGATATTAACTTTCATTCTCTTTCTTTTTTTTTAGATGGTTCTTTCGGATTTCTCTGGATATTGGGATTCGGTAAATATATGATTTCATTTTTTTTCTTTACTGCGCCTTTTAACGAACTGCAACTAACATTTTTTTTAGGTGGATCTTTGAACGTAGATTCGGTGAATGGTGTTTTCTTTTATTTCAAATTAACTCTTTTGATGGAATGTTATTAACATTTCAGTTTTTTTCTTAGGTGGTTCTTTCAGTTTCTTTTGATGCAAAATTCCGGGTAAGATTCTCCCCTTTTTTTTCTTGAATTTTTTTTTTATTTTAATGAATAGTTTTTAATTGTTTGTTATTTTTTTTTATGCGTTTCTTTGGCTCTTTGGATGTGGGATTTTTGTGAGTATATTATTTATTTAAATTTTTATTTCCGTCTTAAAATGGTTACTAAATTTTTATTTTCTCCTTTTTTTAGACGGTATGGACATGTAGGGTCTTGGTGAAAAATAAGCCTCAGTTTTTCTTATTTTTAGATGAGTCTAGGCGCTTGGAACAGGCAAGTTTTGAAAAAAGGAATTAAAACTTTTTTATAAAAGTTTTTTTTTAATTTTTTTTCCTTTTTTATAGGGAAATCGGCTCAGGAAATCGGCTCCAACGTGAGCACCATATTCCCAAGTGAGTTTCGAAAAAAGAAAGAAACTTTTATTAATCTTTCTTTTACTTTTTCGTAGGGAATCGACTTTGACTTGGAACTAAATCCAAGATTAAGTTTCAAAAAAGATGAATTCAAAACTAAAAATCAAACTCAGTTTTTAATCTTTTTCCTATTTGATAGGGAATCAGCTCTGACTTATAACGGGATCCCAGAGATAGTTTCGAAAAAAAAAATATTTGAAACTTGGTTTTTGTAAGGAAATCGGTGACAACAGATTCCCAGGTGAGTTTCAAATAAAAAAATTTGGAACTTCATTAAAAATAATTTTTATTAACTTTTTTTTTTTTTGATTTTCTTTTCTATCATGAGACTCCTGACTTAAGAAAAGACGTTAATTATAGTAACGTCTTCTTTTATCTTCCCTGACTTCATTATCTCTCGGTATGATAATGGATTTTATGTTGTACAAGTGCGAAATTAGTTAAATTTTTGGAAAAATAAAATTTTGAACCAAGTTAAAAACGTTTTTTATTATCGTTTTTTTTCTTTTTAGAGGGACGGGTTTCCACTTCTTGCTTGAATGGATTGGGTGGTAAGTTAGAATTTTTTGAAACTTTTTTATTAGGAAACTTTATTAATGGTTCCTTTTCTCTCTTTTTTGTAGGAACGGGTTTCTGATTCTTGGCTGGATTAAATGGTAAATTCCAAAAGGTTCCGAAGATAAAACATTAAAACTGTTTTATTATCAATTTCAATATATTGTAATAGCACTTTAGCAATAAATTGTACAATAAATTTTTTATAATGAAAGTACAAAACAATTTATATTACGATCTGTATTATTAGCTATAGTACAATGTCCCTACAAGACTAATTAACATGGTTTGTATATAATGTACTGTAATATTAATTTTACAATACATTTAAAATTTTATTAGCAAGTAATTATACATACAATAGTATTACAGTATTGCATTGTAAACTCCAACACGTGCTTTGACATCACGAATAATCAAATTAAACTGTATATAGTAAATTAAAAAGAATATGTTGTGTATAATTTTAGTATGAGATTACTTAATAAGTATTTTTCTCAATGTTGTTCTACACTTAAAAGCTTACTCAATTTAGTTATCGCACAATGATTTAATAAAATCATTTTTTGGTCAAAAAAAAAAAAAATAATAAATAAATAAAGGAAAAAAGAAAACGAGATGGTTTTTAAATTATTCGAAAATTTTGGAATTAGTGATTTTCTTTTATTTTTAAGTACCATATTAACGATCTATGTGGCACAATATTATTACAAATATTTTACTCGTGCCAATCCTTTACCTGGACCATTTCCATTCCCATTCATTGGTAATTTACCTCAATACTATTTGTGGTCTAAAGGAAATATCAAAGAATTTTATGGATATAATTACAAGAAATATGGTGATATGTACGAGGTTCAGTTGAATAGACGAACTATAGTTTTATCTAAAATAGAGTATATTAAAAAACTTTTAACGCCTTCGACAAAAAATTCACATGTGACATATCCTGATAGTGAAGGATTAAAAGAATTGGGAATTGAAGGAAAAGGAATATTGTTAAATCAAGATCTTAAATCGTGGAAATATAATCGTCAGTTTTTCTCTCAAGCTATTTTGTCACCGAAATTTACTAATGAAGCTATTGATTGGACAAACAAACTTTTCAACGAACTGGAAGGTTATTGGAATAAGTTATTCCTTAAAGAAGAAATTATCAAAGAAAATAAAAATAAATTGGATTTTGCCGCATGGCTTCTTCATTACACAAATGATATGATTATTAAAATATTAACTGGGGAAAGATCTTATTCAATGGCGGCTTATTTTGATACTCTCAGTGATGAAAAATCTGATCATCCATTAGCAATAGTCGATGATTCTGTAAAATTAGTTCAAGCACTTCGTAAACANTTTGTATACGTATCTCCTTTCTTACGACATTATATTCCATTTTTTAAGAGTAAAGCAGATGACTTACTTTTAAATTTAAGATTTATTAATAAAAGACTGGATGAAATTATTAAGAGACGTAGACAAGCAATTGAAAATACATCATTGGATAAACCTTTAAAAAATGATATGTTAACATCGTTAATTACTGCGAATACACCTCGTGATGTTAATCATGTCAAAACTGTTGGCGGTGAAGCTTTGGATAGACCTATGACTGATACTGAAATTCGTGGTATTATTTTTGATGGATTTCTTGGTGGAACTGATACAGTAAGTAATTTCAAAGAAATGCTGAACCTTAGCCTGAATTATATTAAATTTTTTTTTTTTATTTAGACAGCAAACACAATTTCGTACATTATATACTATATTGCACATAATCTAGATGTGAAAAAGAAATTGATAGAAGAAATTGATAGAATATTCCAAGGTGATAAAACACGTCCAATCACTGAAAATGATTTTCAAAAATTAAAATACTGTGAAGCAATTGCAAAGGAAGTCGCTCGCGTCTTCACAGTTGTACCTTCGTTTACAAGATATATTAATAAACCTGATGAAATAGCAGGATATAAATGGCCAGCCGGGACAATGTTTCGAATCAATGCCGATGCTATTCATTATAATAGAGACTATTGGGAAGATCCTGATAAATTTAATCCTGATAGATGGATGGTTGAAGGTTTTGAGCCAAATAAACATTCATTACTCATGTTTGGCGGTGGATTAAGGATTTGCCCAGGAAGAAAGTTGGCAATGATTGAATTAGTTTGTTTGATTGCTTTATTATATAGAAAATACGAAATTGATCTAGTAGATATGAATGCTCCTTTAAAAGTTATAAGTGGCGGTGTAACTGCTTGTACCGAATTATTAGTTGAAATTAAACCAAGAAATTGATTTTTGTGATTATAAATATACGGTAAATAATTTTTTTTAAAAATTTTACTATATAATCAATTTTTATTATTTCTTTAAAATGATATAAATTAAGTTCTTTAAAGCATTCCGCAGTAGTTTCGGGAAAGTGTAATACTAAAATTTTCATGCTATGGTTAATTGCCTTTACCGAATTACCGAAATTGACAAAGATACCAAGTTTACTCGAAATTTATTATTATTTAGTTTGTTTTTTTATTTTATTTTATTTTTGTCTAAGCAATAAAAATACGATACTGATTTACGTAATTATGCATACAGCTGTATTATAAACTCCAACACGTGCTTTGACATCATGAATAATCAATTAAACTGTTTATAGTAAATTAAAAAGAATCTGTGACTATTATGTACATTTACTACTTGTTTTGTTATAAATGAACTAATTTTAGTATGAGATTACTAAATAAGTATTTCTCTCAATGTTCTCGATTCACGTTCTACGCTTAAGCTTACCCAATTTAATTACACCCAACTATGACAGGGTTACTATTTTTATATCGCACAATGATTTTGCATTTTTGAAATATAACTATTTTTTGGTCAAAAAAAAAAAATAAATAAATAGATAAATAAATTAAGGAAAAAGAAAACGATAAGATGGTTTTTAAATTATTAGAAAATTTTGAAATTAGTGATGTTCCTTTATTTTTAAGTGTCATATTAACTATCTATGTGGCACAATATTATTTCAAATATTTTACTCGTGTCAATCCTTTACCCGGACCATTTCCATTCCCATTCGTTGGTAATTTACCTCAATACTATTTGTGGTCTAAAGGAGATATCAAAGAATTTTATGGATATAATTACAAGAAATATGGTGATATTTACGAGGTTCAGTTGAATAGACGAACTATAGTTTTATCTAAAATAGAGTATATTGAAAAACTTTTAACACCTTCGACAAAAAATTCACATGTGATGAGATATCCTGATAGTGAGGGATTAAAAGAATTGGGAATTGAAGGAAAAGGAATATTGTTAAATCAAGATCTTAAATCCTGGAAATATAATCGCCAGTTTTTCACACAAGCTATTTTGTCACCGAAATTTACTAACGAAGCTATTGATTGGACTAACAGAATTTTCAATGAATTAGAAGGTTATTGGAATAAATTGTTTCAAGAAAATAAAAATAAATTGGATTTTACTGCATGGTTTAATCAATACACAAACGATATGATTATTAAATTGTTAACTGGAGAAAGATCTTATTCAATGGCAGCTTATTTTGATACTCTCAGTGATGAAAAATCTGATCATCCATCAGCAATAGTCGATGATTCTGTAAAATTAGTTCAAGCACTTCGTAAACATTTTTTGGGTTTTATAATGTTTGTATACGTATCTCCTTTCTTACGACATTATATTCCATTTTTTAAGAGTAAAGCAGATGACTTACTTTTAAATTTAAGATTTATTAATAAAAGGCTAGATGAAATCATTAAGAGACGTAGACAAGCAATTGAAAATACACCATTGGATAAACCTTTATCAAATGATATGTTAACATCGGTAATTACTGCAAATACAACTCGTGATGTTAATCATGTCAAAACTGTTGGCGGTGAAGCTTTGAACAGACCTATGACTGATTCTGAAATTCGTGGTATTATTTTGGATGGATTTTTTGGTGGAACTGATACAGTAAGTAGATTTCAAATAAATGTTTTCATAATTATATTAAAAGTCATAATTATATTAAAATTCGTTTTTTTTTTAATATAGACTGCAAACACAATTTCGTTCGTTATATATTATCTTGCACATAATCCAGATGTGAAAAAGAAAATGATAGAAGAAATTGATAGAATATTCCAAGGTGATAAAATACGTCCAATCACTGAAAATGATTTTCAAAAATTAAAATACTGCGAAGCAATTGTAAAAGAAGTCTCTCGCGTTTTCACGGTTCTACCTTCGTTTACAAGATGTATTAATAAACCTGATGAAATAGCAGGATATAAATGGCCAGCCGGGACAGTGTTTCGAATCAACGCTGATGCTATTCATTATAATAAAGATTATTGGGAAGATCCTGACAAGTTTAATCCTGATAGATGGATGGCTGAAGGTTTCGAGTCAAAGAAATTTTCATTTCTCATGTTCGGTGGAGGATTAAGATTATGTCCAGGAAGAAAGTTGGCAATGATTGAGTTAGTTTGTTTGATTGCTCTATTATACAGAAATTATGAAATTGATTTAGTAGATATGAATGCTCCTTTAAAAGTTATAAGTGGCGGTTTAACTGTTTGTGCTGAATTATTAGTTAAAATTAAACTAAAAAATTGACGTTCATATAATTATAAAGACACAATTGTTTTAAAGAAAATCTTACTGCGTAATAATCAGCTCTTAAAAATGATACATAAATTAGGTTTTCAAAGCTTTAAATAACATTTTCGGTAGTTGTGGGAAATATATTATTAAACTTCCCGATTCTTTGATAAAAAGTTTATATTTAATATTTATAATCCTGAATATACAGTATTTGAAATTATCTTTATAAACAGATCAAGTAAAGTACGACTCAGTTTATGTGTCGGCCAAAAAACTGTGTAATTTTACCCGGATTAAGAAGCATAGTTCTGGCTGGAATTACAAATAGTGCGATTCTGATTCGCAAATTATTTTTTTAACTCTTTTACCGACATACGCCATTTTACTTACCATTTCCCGACATCCTTATAAAAAATTCTTCAGAAAATGATCACGTGTCTGAGTTTCTTCGGAATAAAAACTAGAAAAAGGCTACGGTACATTTCACCGAAATCCATTTATTTCGCCGAAGCCATTTCGCCGAAGGATGTCGTTTCACCGAAAGTATATTTCGCCGAAAATAAAATATTCATCGCGCAGTGAAAATAAAAATTAGAGATTTTTTTTCCCAGGATATTATCACTTCAACATTCAAGTACTAACTAATATTAATTATTAAGCAATAATAGATAAATAACTTTATTTTCCTGAAAACATTTATTCACGAGAAAGTAAGTAAAAAAAAGATTAATGTATTATGAACAACGAGGTAAATTTAATAAAAATCAACTAATTAAAAATTAATCTAGAAAAAATTTCTTTATGTACTATTTAGTGTAAAAACAATAAAATAACCAAATGGAATAAATAATTCTTCGGTGAATGTCCATTTAGCGAAATGTCCATTCGATAAAAATGGCTTCGGAGAAATGGAATTCGGTGAAATGGTATTTCGGCGAAGCGTCCTTTCGGCGAAATATCCCTTAGGTGAAATGGCTTCGGCGAAATGGGTCTCGGTGAAATGGACTTCGGTGAAAATAAAGTCCGGATACCCGAACATAATACAATCCCTATAAAAATTTTTCGGAAAAATGATCACGTGTCTGTTTCTTCGGAATAAAAACTAGGAAAATGTAGCGAATAAAAATTTAATGAATTTGAACTTGCCTTTTAAAGATGAAAATGAAGGGAGATTAGGAATAGATTAAAATATCATCCACCCTATTTTTTTTATATTCAATTAACGATAGTTGAACCACCATATATTGAATGCGATCCTATTGTATAAATAAAACACAAATGTCTCTTTTCAAAAATAAATGAAAAAGTTTGAAATAACACTCTAATTTACCCCTGAGTTAGCATTTTGATACTGACATTGACAATTATCTTAGGTTCTTAGTAAGTTCACTTCGTGCAAAATTTTTTTATTATTTTGCTTTTGTCATCAGTTTTATTTTTCTATTCTTTTTTTATTATTGTTGTTTTCTTTTGTTTGTACGGTAAATTCTATTTTACTGACAAAAGTAAATATGTATATAGTACTAATTGTATTGTATTGATAATTATGTAAACTTTGATATAAGGAGTTGAATGAATAATTCAGTTAATCTGTATGTTAATATTAAAAGAATCTGGGAATAATATTTATTATATATATTTTCTTATTTTGTTATCTAATTCAAGGGATAATAAGCTAATTTTAGTATAGATTACTTATTAAAATATTTAAGTTTACCTGAATTGTAGCGATTTCCTTCCTTATAAATAATTTTCTGGGAAAATTCCGATAAATGATCATTTCTAAAAATTTTTATAGGGTTTTTATTATTTGAATAGTGTAAATTGTGTAACGATTTTGAAACATGTACGATGTACATTAAGCACGATAATTTAGTATAAATTATATCGTTCTTTTGTCAGAAAAAAAAAAAAAAAAAAAAAATCAAGATGGATTTGAAATCGTTCGAAAATTTTGGAATTGGTGATTTTCTTTTATTTTTAAGTACTATATTAACTATCTATGTGGCACAGTATTATTACAAATATTTTACTCGCGTCAATCCTTTACCTGGACCATTTCCATTCCCATTCGTTGGTAATTTACCTCAATACTATTTGTGGTCTAAAGGAAATACAAAATTATTTTATGAATTTAACCGCAAGAAATATGGTGACATATACGAGGTTCAGTTGAATGGACGAGCTATAATTTTATCTAGAGTAGAATATATTGAAAAACTTTTAACACCTTCGACAAAAAATTTACACATGGTAAAATATCCTAATAGCGAGGGATTAGAAGAATTGGGAATTGAAGGAAAGGGATTATTATTAAATCAAGATCTTAAATCGTGGAAATATAATCGTCAGTTTTTCACACAAGCTATTTTGTCACCGAAATTTACTAATGAAGCTATTGATTGGACAAACAAACTTTTCAACGAACTGGAAGGTTATTGGAATAAATTATTTCTTAAAGAAGAAATTATCAAAGAAAGTGAAAATAAATTGGATCTTACTGCATGGTTTAATCAATACACAAACGATATGATTATTAAATTGTTAACTGGGGAAAGATCATATTCAATGGCGGCTTATTTTGATACTCTCAGTGATGAAAAATCTGATCATCCATCAGCAATAGTCAATGATTCTGTAAAATTAGTTCAAGCATTTCGTAAACATCTTTTAGGGTTTGTATTATTTATAAATGTATCTTCTTTCTTACGACATTATGTTCCATTTTTTAAGAATAAAGCAGATGATTTACTTCAGAACATAAGATTTATTAATAAAAGACTGGATGAAATTATCAAGAGACGTAGACAAACAATTGAAAATACACCATTGGATGAATCTTTAACAAATGATATGTTGACATCGTTAATTACTGCGAATACACCTCGTGATGCTAATCATGTCAAACCTGTTGGTGGTGAAGCTTTGAATAAACCTATGACTGATTCTGAAATTTGTGGTGTTATTTTTGATGGATTTCTTGGTGGAACTGATACAGTAAGTAAATTTCAAAGAAATGCTGAACCTCAGCTTGAAATTACACTAAATTTAATTTTTTTTATTTAGACAGCAAATACGATTTCGTTCGTTATATATCATATTGCACATAATCCAGACGTGAAAAAGAAAATGTTGGAAGAAATTGATAGAATATTCCAAGGTGATAGAACACGCCCAATCACTGAAAATGATGTTCAAAAATTAAAATACTGTAAAGCGATTGTAAAGGAAGTCTCTCGTGTTCTCGCAGTTATACCTTTTATTGTAAGATCAATTAATAAACCTGATGAAATAGCAGGATATAAATGGCCAGCCGGTACAATGTTTCGAATCAATGCTGATGCTATTCATTATAATAAAGATTATTGGGAAGATCCTGATAAATTTAATCCCGATAGATGGATGGCTGAAGGTTTCGAGTCAAAGAAACTTTCATTTCTCATGTTCGGTGGAGGATTAAGATTATGTCCGGGAAGAAAGTTGGCAATGATTGAATTAGTTTGTTTGATTGCTTTATTATATAGAAAATATGAAATAGATGTGAATGCTCCTTTAAAAGTTGTAAATGGCAGTATAATTGTTTGTGCTGAATTATTAGCTGAACTTAAACCAAGAAATTGAAGTTGGTATAATTATAAAGACGCGCTATGTAATAAATTAAGATGTGTAATACTAAACTTTTCCCGCTAAAGTTAATTCATTGATAAAAGTTTCTATTTTATATTTTTAGTCATTTACCTTTATAAACAGATCAAGTAAAGTGCTTGTCAGGACTTAGTAGTCTATGTCGGTGTCGACATAACTGTGTAATTTTACCCGCTGATTCGCGTTACACGAGTACGAAATTACAAATTATTTTTTTAACTCTTTCACCGATATCACCGATATGCTTTTTATTGGCGCACCGTTTTCTGACATGGAAAATTACCCGATACTTTTTTACTGAGCTAACCATTTTGATATCGAAATTGAAAAAGATTTTAGACTCTTAGCAAGTTTATTTCATAAATTATTTTGCTTATTGAGTCAGTTTTATTTTTATTTTTATTTTTTATCTTTTTATTTACTTTCATTTATTTATTGTTATTATATTTTTTTTTGTAAGGTAAATTCTGATTTACTGATCATAATCAATCATACTTGCCATTGTATTGATAATTACGTAAACTTTGATATCAAGGCGCAGTAAGAAGGTGGCGAGGAAATTTACTTATTTTGTTATCTTTCTAGAGATAATAAACTAAATTTAGTATAGATCATTATTTTATTAAAATATTTTTCTGGCTTAAAGATTACCCAATATACTCACTGTTGTCATGAATAATCATGGATTACAATACGTGAGATCATATGAATGAAATTTTGTAGCTTTATTTGAATAATTAAATAATTGCTATTCCTGTAATGCTTTGAAACATGTAAAGTGCAGCATTTCTGAAATATAAATATCGTTCCTTTGTCAGAAAAAAAGTTAAAAAAAAAAGAAAACGATAAGATGGTTTTGAAATTATTCGAAAAACTTGAGATTGGTGATTTTCTTTTATTTTTAAGTACCATATTAACGATCTATGTGGTACAATATTATTTACTCGTGTCAATCCTCTACCTGGGCCATTTCCATTCCCATTCGTTGGTAATTTACCTCAATACTATTTGTGGTCTAAAGGAGATACTAAAAAATTTTACGATTATAATTACAAGAAATATGGTGACATATACGAGATTCAGTTTAATGAACGGTCTATAATTTTATCTAGAACAGAATATATTGAAAAACTTTTAACACCTTCGACAAAAAATTCACACATGGTAAGATTTCCTGATAGTGAGGGATTAGAAGAATTGGGAGTTGGCGGGAAAGGAATATTAACAAATAATGATTTTAAATCGTGGAAATATAATCGTCAATTTTTTGCACAAGCTATTTTGTCACCGAAATTTACTAATGAAGCTATTGATTGGACAAACAAACTTTTCAACGAACTGGAAGGTTATTGGAATAAGTTATTTCTTNTTTTGTCACCGAAATTTACTAATGAAGCTATTGATTGGACAAACAAACTTTTCAACGAACTGGAAGGTTATTGGAATAAGTTATTTCTTAAAGAAAAAATTATCAAAGAAAATCAAGATAAATTGGATTTTGCAGCATGGCTTCATCATTACACAAATGATATGATTATTAAATTATTAACTGGGGAAAGATCTTATTCAATGGCAGCTTATTTTGATACTCTTAGTGATGAAAAATCTGATCATCCATTAGCAATAGTCGATGATTCTGTAAAATTAGTTCAGGCGCTTCGTAAACATCTTATAGGTTTTATAATGTTTGTATACGTACCTCCTTTCTTACGACATTATATTCCATTTTTTAAGAATAATGCAGATGATTTACTTCAAAACGTAAGATTTATCAATAAAAGACTAGATGAAATTATTAAGAAACGTAGACAAGCAATTGAAAATACACCGTTGGATAAACCTTTAACAAATGATATGTTGACATCGTTAATTACTTCGAATACACCTCGTGATGTTAATCAAATCAAAACAGTTAGTGGTGAGGCTTTGAACAGACCTATGACTGATACTGAAATTCGGGGTTCTATTTTTGATGGATTTCTTGGTGGAACTGATACAGTAAGTAAATTTCAAAGAAATGCTGAACCTCAGCCTGATATTATACTAAATTTTCACTTTTTTTTTATTTAGACAGCGAACACGATTTCGTTCATTATATATTATCTTGCACATAATCAAGATGTGAAAAAGAAAATGATAGAAGAAATTGATAGAATATTCCAAGGTGATAAAACACGTCCAATCACTGAAAATGATTTTCAAAAATTAAAATACTGCGAAGCAATTGTGAAAGAAGTTTCACGCGTTTTATCAGTTGTACCTACGTTTACAAGATATATTAATAAACCTGATGAAATAGCGGGGTATCAATGGCCAGCCGGAACAATGTTTCGAATCAATGCTAATGCCGTTCATTATAATAAAGATTATTGGGAAGATTCTGATAAATTTAATCCTGATAGATGGATGGTTGAAGGCTTTGAGCCAAACAAACATTCATTACTCATGTTTGGCGGTGGATTAAGGATTTGCCCAGGAAGAAAGTTGGCAATGATTGAACTAATTTGTTTGATGGCTTTATTATATAGAAAATACGAAATTGATTTAGTGGATATGAATGTTCCTTTAAAAGTTGTAAGTGGCGGTGTAACTTCTTGTACTGAATTATTAGTTGAAATTAAACCAAAAAATTGACGTTCATCATGTAATTATAAGGACACAATTTTTTTAAAGAAAATCTTACTATGTAATAATCAGCTCTTAAAAATGATACATTTGTTTAAAGCTTCAAATAAAATTTTACAGTAGTTTCGGGAAAATGTAATACTAAACTTTTTTAATTCTGATAAAAACTGAAGTTTCTATTTTATATCTATAGTTCTGTATATATTTGAAATTATCTATAAATAGACTAAGTACTACTATATATATGTCGGCATGCATAGTTCTTTCGCGTTGCATGAGTACACAACGACGTGCCTTTATTGGCACCATTTTACTTACCTTATTGAGCCAGTTTTATTTTTCTATTTTTACTTTCTATTATTTTTGTAACTGATTTACTGATCAATGATCATAGTAACCACAAGTAATTATGTAAGATGTCTAGAAGAGTGAACGACTGAATACAATTAACCTGTAGGAATGTTAGAATGTTAAAAAATATATATATGTTTATTTTGTTATCCAATTTTAGAGATCATAAACTAATTTTAGTATAGATTACTTATTAAATATTTCTTCATGTGCTACGCTTGGCTGATTTAAATTTACCCAATTTAGATAAGAGTGAAGTCATGAAAATGAGTTTTGTAGCAATTTATAAATTTATTGTCTGAATAGTTACTATTTGTGTAACGCGATCAGTTTTGTACAAGTATAATAATTCAGAATTTTCTGAAATATAAATTATTTCATATCCATTCCTTTATCAGTAAAAAAAACAAAAAAGAAAAAAAAGAAAAAGAAAACGATAAGATGGCTTTTAAATTGTTCGAAAATTTTGAGATTAGGGATTTTCTTTTATTTTTAAGTGCCATATTAACGATCTATGTGGCACAATATTATTACAAATATTTTACTCGTGTCAATCCTCTACCTGGGCCATTTCCATTCCCATTCGTTGGTAATTTACCTCAATACTATTTGTGGTTTAATGGAGAAAATAAAAAATTTTACGAATATAATTACAAGAAATATGGTGACATATGCGAGGTTCAGTTTAATGAACGGGCTATAGTTTTATCTAGAACAGAATATATTGAAAAACTTTTAACACCTTCGACAAAAAATTCACACGTGGTAAGATTTCCCGATAATGAGGGATTAGAAGAATTGGGAATTGAAGGAAAAGGAATATTGTTAAATCAAGATCTTAAATCGTGGAAATATAATCGTCAGTTTTTCTCTCAAGCTATTTTGTCACCGAAATTTACTAATGAAGCTATTGATTGGACAAACAAACTTTTCAACGAACTGGAAGGTTATTGGAATAAGTTATTCCTTAAAGAAGAAATTATCAAAGAAAATAAAAATAAATTGGATTTTGCTGCATGGTTTAATCAATACACAAACGATATGATTACTAAATTGTTAACTGGAGAAAGATCTTATTCAATGGCAGCTTATTTTGATACTCTCAGTGATGAAAAATCTGATCATCCATCAGCAATAGTCAATGATTCTGTAAAATTAGTTCAAGCATTTCGTAAACATCTTTTAGGGTTTGTATTATTTATAAATGTATCTTCTTTCTTACGACATTATGTTCCATTTTTTAAGAATAAAGCAGATGATTTACTTCAGAACATAAGATTTATTAATAAAAGACTGGATGAAATTATCAAGAGACGTAGACAAACAATTGAAAATACACCATTGGATGAATCTTTAACAAATGATATGTTGACATCGTTAATTACTGCGAATACACCTCGTGATGCTAATCATGTCAAACCTGTTGGTGGTGAAGCTTTGAATAAACCTATGACTGATTCTGAAATTTGTGGTGTTATTTTTGATGGATTTCTTGGTGGAACTGATACAGTAAGTAAATTTCAAAGAAATGCTGAACCTCAGCTTGAAATTACACTAAATTTAATTTTTTTTATTTAGACAGCAAATACGATTTCGTTCGTTATATATCATATTGCACATAATCCAGACGTGAAAAAGAAAATGTTGGAAGAAATTGATAGAATATTCCAAGGTGATAGAACACGCCCAATCACTGAAAATGATGTTCAAAAATTAAAATACTGTAAAGCGATTGTAAAGGAAGTCTCTCGTGTTCTCGCAGTTATACCTTTTATTGTAAGATCAATTAATAAACCTGATGAAATCGCAGGATATAAATGGCCAGCCGGTACAATGTTTCGAATCAATGCTGATGCTATTCATTATAATAAAGATTATTGGGAAGATCCTGATAAATTTAATCCCGATAGATGGATGGCTGAAGGTTTCGAGTCAAAGAAACTTTCATTTCTCATGTTCGGTGGAGGATTAAGATTATGTCCAGGAAGAAAGTTAGCAATGATTGAATTAGTTTGTTTGATTGCTTTATTTTATAGAAAATATGAAATTGATTTAGTAGATATGAATGCTCCTTTAAAAGTTATAAATGGCGGTGTAACTGCTTGTGGCGAATTATTAACAAAAATTAAACATAGAAAATGATGTTTCGTTTCATTTTTTATTTTATTATGTAAAAAGTTTATTTGTGCAAAACAAAATTTTATTTTTAAAGTGATATTTAAGTTTGTTTTATTTCAAATGAAATTTTTATCAGGAACTTGATCCATCTCGTATATGATTTAACGAAAAATTTCGTGTTATTAAATATCAAATGATTGAGAATCCCGATGACATCAGTAATAGATGATGTAAAAATTTCTAACGTAAGTTTACGAACCTTAAGGTAAAAAAAAACATGGAAATGACTAGTATTACGGAAGTCAATATTATTTAATGCCATTAAGAAACTAATATTGACGGCCTTTTAATTTACAAATACACATACAGTAACCGTAACTGAGAATACAAAATAAAAAAAAAAAATAGGTATAAAAGAAGATCAAATAAGCGTCAATAATTTAAATATTCTAATTTATTGAATCTTAAATGAACGTACCGAATAAAATGTGTCCCTCTACTGTTTGATATTTTGTAGTAATTTCTTTTTTATAATATCTTATAATAGGATCGCTTTACTAGAGGAAATTAAATATTGAGATACGATATCTAATCTCTCATCTAAATGGATTATTATATTCACCAATAATTTTTCCTGGATTATGAACTCTAATTAATACTTTCTAACTTTTCTTAATTTTAACTTTACACATTTCTTTTTGAGCTCTCTTACTAAAGTCAAAGTTTTCCAATTAATAAAATCCATTGAAATCCATGTAAATAGTTATCTTTAAATTTTTCTGCGGGATGCAAAATCATCATATCAGCCATTTGATCGTAATTGAAAATTTTTGGGCCCGTCCAAGATTATGTATAAGGAAATCTTTAGCAATCTCTACGCTGAATTATTTCGTTTTAAGTTATTTTCAGTAATTATAAGTCGTAAGCTGCAATTTATAACATAAAAGTCATTTCACGGTAAGTTTCTTGAAAAAAAAAAAATAATTATGATTTTTGTTGAATTCATGACGATCTATTGTCCTTACATTAAAAGAACGCAAAATACCGAAGAAATATTAGGTTTTTTTTAAAGAAATATTTGGAGATTTAGTATCATCATATAATCGCGAAAATTTTTGTCTATAATTCCGTCAAGAATGCTAACGAGGGTGCTTGTTTTCTTCTTCAGCTTTAACTATCACATCAAAAGTGTTGTAAATACGAAATACAGTGAATTAATAAGCTCTTATAAATAGGGAAATTAAAGGTATTTATATTAGATTTTGGATTTTGACAATCACATTCTTTTGGATTAAGTGAAACTTAATAACGTACAACGATAAATGATTACTAACATGAAATCTTGAGATTATCAATCGGTTAATCTTTCCGTAATTTATTTTTTCCGCGAATTTTAGGTTCAATTGCCAATCGATAAGGGAGGACAAAATGTTAAAAATGGATAATTAATAGGTGACACCGACCAGCATTACGGCATTAAGAAATTAAGCATGTGAATTTTAATATTTAGTGTTACAATAGCTGCAAATATTTACACACTATGTATAATGCAATGAGTATATTAAATTCTTCCGCCTACATACAGTGTTTATCTGGTTGCTGAACAAGAAATTACGTGAATATATGTGGTCATATTACTTGATAAAAAATAATGAGCCTTACCAGCCTCACTTCTTCAGCAAAATACTACGCTTTCTTCTTTTCCTCATACTACCTTATCCTTCTATTAAATTTTTTTTTGTTTTTTTTTTAAAAAAAAAAAAAAGAAAGACTTTGTTCCTTTTCTCAAAAAATCGGCCATATTTGTTACACCAATGTATTTTATTATTAATATTATATAAATCACGTCAGAAGATCAACAACGTGATCAATGATGGTATTAATTTAATTTGTCAATACTGTTACCTAATGAATAATTATGATGTGCTATCGGAACTTTCGGAAATGATATCGATGATATCGATATGCATGAAACTTTGAAGATAAACATTTTAAGTATCCAAACAATGAAGTAAATAAAGTATAAATAAGCTGAGAATTTTCTATCATCATTAAATTTATTAAATTTTTATGCGATGTACTCAATTTTAACGAATATATTGAAACAAAAAAATGTATTAAAGTCAACGACAACTAACGTTAACCGTTATGTTATATTCAACTTTCATAATAAAATACGACAGTTTGGTTCAACGTCTGTAAACCACGCGGTTCCAACTGCAGAGAATCCGCCCATGCGTATTTTACTTCTCGGAAATCCGGTATGTGCAAAAAAAACCTAGTATTATGTTTATGTAATATATTCTGAAGTTAATACACAAATTATTGTTATATTTTATTTAATGAAGGGTGCTGGAAAAGGAACTCAATCCTCTCGCATGCAAAAAAATTTCAACATTACCGCAATAACTAGCGGCAACCTCCTTCGTCAAAACATAGCAAAAGGCACAACGGTTGGTAAAATTGCTGCTAAACACATGGAGCATGGAGGTAAATGGAAACGGAACTAGCTATTTTAGGAGGGTCATGTTATCTTTATGCGACATTGAATTTGGAAACGATTTTCAATTTGTTTTATAGAATTCGTACCGGACGATATTATGATTGAATTAATTGGCGATGAACTTCAAAGAAATAAGCGACAAGTATATATTATAACTATTGATAATTTAAAAATTGTTAAACCTTTTAATAATGTATATTTTTTTATTTAAAAGAATTGGCTATTAGATGGATTTCCGCGAACAATTAATCAAGCGATGGCCTTAGATGATAATTTAAATCTATCGGGTCAATCTTTAAATTTAGTCATTAATCTTCAGGTACCTGAAGAAGTAATATTACAACGTATCATGGGTATGTTAATAAATTATTGACAATATGTAATATTTTGTTTATATTCATTATTTAATAATTTATTCCATTATTAAATTATAAGATCGATGGATTCATGTTCCTTCAGGACGCGTTTATAATCTAAGTTATAATCCACCAAAAATACATGGAATTGACGATGTCACCGGTGAAAAACTAACAAAGCGCGATGATGATAATCCTGTAATTATCATATATATTTCAAATGATTATTTGTTTAAAAAAAAACTAATTAATTAAAATTATTTATTTTTCAATTAAGGATATATTTAAAATTCGATTACAAAAACATCATGCTCTAACTGAACCGTTATTAGAATATTATAATAAGCGAAATATATTAATTACTTGCAACGGGCGAACAAGTGATGAAATTTATCCGCAAATTGAATCGGAATTAATTGCAAGATTCAATGTTATTTCTCCCAATAATCAGGTTAAAACTTCTACTGAGAAAAATCTTTTAAAGGTTGCCACTCGAGAGAATTTATAGAGTAAAATTTCCATTCAATTACCCGCATCATACTTAAACTTGCCTTGTACATTCTTTGTGGTATATTTTTTTGTTATAAGGCAAATTGTTAATTTGTATATTCCTTAATTGTAAATAAAAATTTATACAGTAATAGTAATATAATTTGGAACACATTATTACTTTCGCAAAAAATAAATTTACGTTAAAAATTTGTTTGCTTCTAGGGCTTTTAGGGTTATATTAACTTTCTTTAATTTATCAATAATAATTGCATAATAAAATTATAATTTCTCTAATTCTAATCATTATCTTGTAATAAATAATATTTAATCGTCGTTAGTGTTTAGACATTAAGGATATCATTTGGATGAAATAAAACTTTTGCTTTTAACATGTCATTGAAGTAAGCCAGATAATCTTCAACGAACATAATAAACGCTCCAAAAAACATGTCAATGTTCATAATAATTATCTTCAATGACTTATTAACTACTTGTGTGGTACTGTTCGATATCAAATAAAGGTATCGGTCAAGAGTGACCATGGCAAGATGGAAAAGTTTTTTTAAACCTTTAGAGTAAATAAAGCACTTTTCTGGCAAAATAATTTCTTCGTGCAAATGGTCAAATCAGAATCAAATCGACTCAATTTAACTTGATTCGACTCGATTCGAATTTGATTTATTTTATTAGTTAAAAAGTTAAATTCGAATCAAATCCATTCAGATTCGACTCGACTCAAATTCGAAATGGACTTGATTCAATATAATTCGAATTCAAATCGATTCAAATAAATTCAAATCTGACTCAGTTCGATCTGATTCGATCAGTGCGGAACACTAGTTTGTAAATAGCAAAAAAAAAAAATATAATAATACAAGTGCCGCCCGTTATAACGACATCTCGTTATAACGACATACAGTATTATTGTATAACGACATATCATTTTTTGAATTCCTTTGATGTCGTTATATAAAACATAATAAATCACATTATAACGACAATTAGAAAAAATTTACTAATGGCCCGAAGCACTTTTACAGACTAAGATGTCAAAATTTCCTCTATCGGCGCTTTGGTATTGTATTTCAATTGTTCATCAAAAACTGTCAGGAAAACTACAATGTATCAATCTTATCAATTCAGGTGATTGTTACTAATTTAATATTGCATTGAAAAAATCATGTATATTATTTGCCAAATAGGATGGATCATGTCGGTTTAACATACTGATATTTTTAGATAAATCATTATTGCATAAATATCTTTGATATTTTTGATTAATTTGTAGGCAAAATATCTAGTTTACTATCATGCCAATAAATAAGCCTATAGAATTTATTTATTAGTTATTTTTTTTTATATGGAACATAATCTTGGACGTCTGCTAATAGCACAGTTATTGGGTACGGTGGTTAAAATATCATCTGAACTGCTTCTCCGTACGTGATTTCAACCCCACCCTCCCTACCCAATAACTATTGTATCTCAGGGAGAACATGGCATAGAGGATGTGGTTTGCATACTATGTTCGCTCACCGTTTATTACTACGTATAAATATGTTGGATGGGCAGATTCTTTATGAAAAGCACCACTCGGTAAACTCAATACATACCAACGTGCGCCTCAATATTAATTATCTGATGAAGGCTTCCGGGTAGGTCGATATTGTATCTTATTACTTTTGGATTATAATATCATGCGCGGCGCATTGTCTACATCAGAATAACCTTTCAACAAGGCTAAGAAAGGTGATGCATTATTTTATTTTTTATTTTTTTTTGGATATTTTCTTCGATTAACTGAATAAGTTATGCACGATAAATAATTCTACTATTCTATGGTCAAGCGTTTTCACGATTATTGTTAGTAACAGCATATACTATTAATAACTTTTTGTAATCAATTAGTAAGACACACATGACGCATAACATGCTTGACTAATGCTACTTGCCAATACTTATTTGCCTAATGGTGAAAAGTGAACTCTCTATATAAATGTTGAAATGCTAGGACTGCTAAAATTGTTTAGCAGCTTCGGCAATTTCGGCATTTTAACCCAATAAATCCTAAAAAAAAAAAAAAATTCGAACCTCAGGGCGCGCCTCTCATATAGACACGGCTTACGAAATAGCACAAATCCCGATATATAATCTATAAAGGTTATTTAAATGTACAGTAATTACGATATTACAGAGTTTAAAATGTAAATATATATTAAACAATTTTTTATATAGATTACAAACACGATTTCATTCATTAATCACATAATCCGGAGCGAAAAAGAAATTGATAAAAGAAATTGATTGAATTGTAAGTAGTGGGATATAAATGGCCAGCCACTATGATGTTATTCGCAAAAATGAGTTTTATTGAAAAAATTCTGATTTTAATCCTGGTGGATGGTTGAAGGTTTAAGAAATATTCATTTATCATGTTTGGTGGAGCAACCGAGCAAGGAAGAAATTGCTTTATTGTTTAGAAAATACGAAATACTATGATTAGACCAAGAAATTAACTTTTCTTAGTATTTAAAGAATACATAAAAATGATTTTAAGTTAGATCGATTTATCAGAAAAATAAAAAATTACAAAATTACATCCTAAAATTATTTGATAAATAATAGAAAATTATTATCAGTTTAACTAAATAATAAAGGCTATCTAAAACGAGTGCAAACACACTGTTATAACACTAATAAAAGCATCATAAATGCTGAAATTATGAAATTAAGAGATTTCCCACTCCACATGGAAATCCACATCAACTATTGTGGAATTATGTGGAAATCCAAAATACCCTGTGACGAAACACATGGTATTTCCGGCGTAGATCCACAAAATTCTACTTGGAATATATGGAATTCCACATATTTCTGAACTAATTCATATGGAGTTACGTGAAACCGATCTACCTATGATGTTTTTGTTAAACCCTACCTAATACAGCGAGCCCCTAATTATATGAAAATACACATATAGGATGTAACGTACCGCACTGCCTAAAATACCCGTATGATTTAAAATAATGGTTTAAAACATTATATAGTACTCGTGGTACTACATCAATTGCGCAATACTCGCAATATCAGCTATCAGCTATATGGAAATTTTAAGAATAATCATTAAATATACCGAATTAAAAAGGCATAGTACATTTTACATATTTCTTACTTGATTGCTGTTCCACGAAGAAATATCCACATGATGAATAAGGATAAACAAGAATTTGATTTGTTATTTCGCAAATCAAAAATGTAGATAAAAAATGCAAATGTAATTTTACATTAATTGACGAACCTGATATAATAAAAGAATAAATCGTAATACAGATACCTTAAAGACAGAAATATGTCATATATATATATATAAGTTGCAACTACTTTTTGACGATCACGTGAACTTCCTTAATAAGTAAGATACGTTTGTCTGCAAGTTCACTAAATATGTGAAAAAAATTTCATAGTGATTTATAAATAAATAACGCATATTTTGTTATGAAATAATTAGACTATTCTTTATAGGAAATAAATAAGTAAATAAATAAGTACAAATAAATATATATACCTCAAACATTATTATTTCTCAGCAAAAATAAAAATAAAAATTAATAAAGAAAATATGAAATCATTTGAAAATTTTGAAATTAGTGATTATATCTTCTTGCTAAGTACCATTTTAACGATCTATGTGGCACGGTATTATTACAAATATTTTACTCGTGTCAATCCTTTACCTGGACCATTCCCATTCCCATTCGTCGGTAATTTACCTCAATATTATTTGTGGTCTAAAGGAGATTCAAAGATATTTTATGGATATAACTTCAAGAAATATGGTGACATATATGAGGTACATTTGGGTGTACGATCTATAATTTTATGTCGAACGGAACATATTGAAAAGCTTTTAACGCCTTCGACGAAAAATTCACACGTGATGAGACTTCCCAACAGTAAGGGATTAGAAGAATTGGGAATTAGTGGGAAAGGAATATTAACTAATAATGATTTTAAATCATGGAAATATAATCGTCAATTTTTTACACAAGCTATTTTGTTACCAAAATTTACTAATGAAGCTATTGATTGGACAAACAAACTTTTTGATGAATTGGAAAGTTATTGGAATAAATTATTTCATAAAGAGGAAAATAAAAATAAAACAAATTTTGCTGCATGGTTTCATCACTACACGAATGATATGATTATTAAGTTGTTAACTGGCGAAAGATCCTATTCAATGGCAGCTTATTTTGATACTCTCAGTGATAAAAAATCTGGACATACACCAGCAATTATCGATGATTCTGTAAAATTAGTTCAGGCACTTCGTAAACATCTTTTGGGATTTTCAATGTTTTATTTTGTTTCTCCTTTCTTACGACATTATGTTCCATTCTTTAAGAATAAAGCAAATGATTTACTTCTAAACATGAAGTTTATTAACAAAAGACTTGATACAATCATTAAAAGACGTAGACAAGAAATTGAAAATACACCATTAGATAAACCTTTATTATCAAATGATATGTTGACATCTTCGATTACTGCAAATACGCCTCGTGATACTAATTATACCAAAACTGTTGAAGGTGAAGCTTTAAATAGACCTATGACTGATACTGAAATTCGTGGAAATATACTTGATGGATTCCTTGGTGGAACTGATACGGTAAGTAATTTTTCAAATGAACAGTAATTTTTTACTCGAGATTATATTAACATATTCTAATTTTTTTTAAATATAGACTGCGAATACGATTTCATTCATTATCTATTATCTTGCACATAATCCAGATGTAAAAAAGAAAATGCTAGAAGAAATTGATAGGATATTTCGAGGTGATAAAGTGCGACCGATCACTAAAGATGATTTTCATAGTTTAAAGTATTGCGAAGCAATTGTAAAAGAAGTATCTCGTGTTTTTCCAGCTGTAACTTCATTTGCAAGATATATTGATAAACCTAGTGAAATAGCGGGGTATCAATGGCAAGCTGACACATTGTTTAGAATCAATGCTGATGCTATTCATGATAATAAAGATTATTGGGAAAAACCTGATAAATTTAACCCTGATAGATGGATGGTTGAAGGTTTTGAACCAAAAAAAAATTCTTTTATTATGTTTGGTGGAGGATTAAGATTATGTCCAGGAAGAAAGTTAGCAATGATTGAATTAATTTGTTTGAAGGCTTTATTGTTTAGGAAATATGAAATTGACTTAGTAGATATGGATGCACCCTTAAAAACTATAAATGGTGGCGGCATGACTGTTTGCACTGAATTATTAGTTGAAATTAAACCAAGAAATTGATGTTCTTATATTCAAAAGATGTTTTCGGACGATAAATATTTAATATTTACATGTATATGTATGTTATTATATATATAATATATTGCAATTTATGAAATATCATATATTTAACCATTTTTAACTATTTAATAAATTAATAATGTTTTATTAAGAATCATATACTAACTGGTCGTAGCGTGCAGCGGCACTATCATTCAAAATACGTTTAATATCACGCTGCGTCCTTTTTTTGTACGCAGTAAATCAGTCATGTATTTTGAATATATATACTAAGTCTGCAAAAAATATTTTTTTCAATATAAGAATAAACCTTATAAAAATTTTATCCATTATTTTTGCAAAAACTCCGTAAAAATGAGCCTTTTCCGGATCCATTTACGGAAAATGTAAATAATTCGATAAATATAAGGTTATTAATTCCGGAAATATGAGCCTTTTACGGAATATAAAAAAACGGATCGACTTTTTCACAGGGGTTGTATTACGTTATTATTATTACGATACTCCTTTATTACGATGCTCCTATATTTTTAATTATGATATAGGGTAAATAATTTTTTAACTTAAAATACGATCAATAATATGTAACTTTGAGTGTGTAAGAATCAAATATTTAATCAGAATACATGATTGACAATTTGTACAAAAAAACTATAAATGATTACCAATATATTTATCGAAATAGCATTATTTGTTCCACAAGAAAGAACATGACTACATGAACAGTTATACAAGATAAAATGGTTAGTAATGAAGTACTACATGTACCAGCTATTTAAAGAAAAAAGTATGCAAAATCAGACTAAATTTGTTCGGGGCGTACTTAGAGTTTCGTCAAATTGAAAACGAAACAAACAAACCCGCATTAGTTGACCAATGACGATCCGGAAATATTAGAGTTAATTCAAATATTTGTTATCTTATTACTAAGTTCATGTTTATATTACGAATAAGTGATTGTTATTTAAAACTTATGTATAAACAATCGTGCGGGTATTGTAATGATATAGCAGTAACTACACGGCAAATTCTATCTTTACGTTATCGTGAACTTCTACATGATGCAATGTTTGAACGTCTCCACAGTTCTCAAATGCTTTGCTTTTTCGTAGATGAGTAAATCCAATTTTATTAATTCTCATAAGAAACAATATTCTGATCTAAAGAAAAGAATCACATGTATAATGTTTATGTCATATTACTAAATAAAAATTTCTGATCGCGATAATCTTATGTTAGTGTTGTAACTTACTTAAATTTTTAATTTTAAGAGTGATCATGTGTACAAAATAACTGCAAAAATTTATAATTAGGTAAATAATAATGAATATCATCTTACTAAAATGAATTGCAAAAAAAAAAAAAAATTATGTATATAAATATACCAAGAGTCCAAGACACATTTTTTTGGTTAAAGAAGCCGGTAAAAAACATTAAAATAAGAAATAAGAAATAAAATAAGAAAAGAGAAACAATGGAAAATTTTGAAATTAGGGATTACTTTTTATTGTTAAGTACCACACTAATGGTTTATGTGGCGCGATATTATTACAAATATTTTACTCGTGTCAATCCTTTACCTGGACCATTCCCATTCCCATTCGTTGGTAATTTGCCTCAACTTTATTGGCAGTCGAAAGGAAATACCAAAATGTTTTACGAATATAATCATAAAAAATATGGGGATATATACGAAGTTAATTTTAGTATACGATCCATAATTTTATGCCGAACGGAATATATTGAAAAGCTTTTATCGCCTTCAACAAAAAATACAGTCGTGATGAGAATTCCAAACAGCAAAGGATCAGAAGAATTGGGAGTTGGTGGGAAAGGATTATTGTTAAATAATGATTTTAAATCATGGAGACATAATCGTCATTTTTTTTCACAAGCTATTCTGTCACCGAAATTTACTAAGGAAGCTATTGATTGGACAAACGACCTTTTTATTGAATTAGAAAGTTATTGGAATAAATTAATTTTTAAAGAAGAAATTATCAAAGAAAACAAAAATATATTGAATATTGCTCAATGGTTTAATCAATACACAAACGATATGATTATTAAATTGTTAACTGGAGAAAGATCTTATTCAATGGCAGCTTATTACGATACTCTCAGTGATGAAAAATCTGATCATCCATCAGCAATAGTCGATGATTCTGTAAAATTAGTTCATGCACTTCGTAAACATCTTTTAGGATTTTCAATGTTTTACTTTGTTTCTCCTTTCTTACGACATTATGTTCCATTTTTTAAGAATAAAGCAGATGATATAATCCAAAATAAGAAATTTATTAATCAAAAATTAGATGCAATTATTAAGAGACGTAGACAAGTAATTGAAAATACACCATTGGATGAACCCTTATCAAATGATATGTTGACATCGGTGATTATCGCGAACACACCTCGTGATGTTAAATATATCGAAACTGTTGATGGTGAAGCTATGAGACCTATGGCTGATGATGATATTCGTGGTATTATACTTGATGGGTTCCTTGGTGGAACTGACACGGTAAGTAAAATTTTCAAAGAAATATTGAATCTTAAAATTATATTAAAAAATCCATTTTTTTTCTCATTTAGACTGCGAATACAATTTCATTCATTATCTATTACCTTGCGCATAATCCAGACGCGAAAAAGAAAATGATAGAAGAAATTGATAGAATATTCCAAGGTGATAAAATACGACCAATCACCGAAAATGATTTTCATAACTTAAAATACTGTGAAGCAATTGCGAAAGAAGTATCTCGCGTCTATCCAGCTGTAACTTCGTTTACAAGATTTATTGATAAACCTAGTGAAATAGCTGGGTATCAATGGCCAACTGGCACGTTGTTTCGGATCAATATTGATGCTATTCATGATAATAAAGATTATTGGGAAAAACCTGATAAATTTAATCCTGATAGATGGATGGCTGAAGGTTTTGAACCAATAAAAAATTCTTTTATTATGTTTGGTGGAGGATTAAGATTATGCCCAGGAAGAAAATTGGCAATGATCGAATTAATTTGTTTGGTGGCTTTATTGTTTAGGAAATATGAAATTGATTTAGTAGATATGAATGCTCCTTTAAGAACCGAATCTTCTGCTATAACTGTTTGCACTGAATTGTTAGTTAAGATTAAACCAAAAAATTGATAATCTTATATTTAGAATTTATGGTTTTATTTACAATTTTTTTTTTTTACTTATTACGTTAATAAAATGAATTTACTAAGTAAAATAAATTAACAATATTTTATCGTACAAGAGTACAAGACAAGTTAGTGAAGACAAGTACAAAGAATAAGAAAATTTATTTTCACATTTATTTTATTGTTTTATAGATCATTATAAAGAAATGAAGTAATCACATTATTACTCTAAAAAGAAACGTTAATAAAATAATTGCGAACAAGAGCTAATATTGCTATTTGCTAGTATTTATTGCAGTTTTGTGTATGCCCAAAAATTAAAACTCTTATTGGTGATGGCAACTCGCCAAAGTATTTTTAAACAAAATAATAATAATAAAATATATTAATTATTAACGTACGTATATCGAGAATTTATTTTATAATATGGACAACGATTGATCAATGTAATAGTATTGAATCACGTGATGTGACCCAATTAATGTCATGATGTTTGAGAATCTCGCTTTTTCCTTCTCACCCTTCCCCTCTCTTCGTTCTCCCCTCGTTCTTATCCTTTCCTTTTTTCTCTTCCCTTCTTTCTCGTTTTATGATATGTTTATATTTTGCTAAGTAGATTATTGACCACATACACCTGAAGTTACGCTGCCACTAAGTAATAAGGCGAGGTTTTGGTACGAAATCTCGAAAATCATTTGAGCGACTGACACAAGACCGACAACAAAATCCAATATCTTGACAAGTCAAAATCCTGTCAAAATTATAACACATTTAAAACTAAATATTACATATTGCAACAAATTATTTTATTAGAACACACATCACAAAATTGTCGATATAATGACATTTTGTTGTCGATCTTGTGTTTAGTCGTGCAAGTGACTGTCGAGATTTTGATCGGATACCATGAGGCGACAGAGAACTGGAAGCGCATCATGGCACGAGTCGGTTAATATATTGTGAACTCTATCTAACCTTATTATTCGAAAGCAATTATGGCTGTGGTGATTGGGATGTTCTTATTTGTCTTCATGATGCATATATGTATTCTTTTTTTTTTTTTAGGAAGTATAATTATTCGCTGATGAATTTTCTTAAATCTTTAATAAATAATCATTTAAGCGAGAATACTGAGAATACTCTTGCATTGACTTCAATATAAAACCTCCAACTCACTTCTTAGGAACATGATCACGAATAGGAAGATTTAAGCATGATTATAAATAAGGTAAATCTGAGTGTATTATTTTTCGTCTTTAATAATATTTTCGTTATCGTTATTAACCCATTTTCGAACTAGTGTGATCAGGTGAATCTATCGATCAATTATTTAAAAAAAATACCAAAGCACAAGAAAACAACCGACAATACCACAAAAAAGATTAAAATACAATAACCAAAAAATAATAATATAAATTTATCTCATACAATGTTACAAGATAAATTGAATAATAAATTAATATACAAAAAGTAAATTCCTTTTAAAAATAAATATTAAAAATACTAAAATCTTACAAAGTAAAAAAAAAAACTCATGAATCACTAAATAAGTTAAAGATTTAAGTTAGAATAAGTTGAATTAAGTTATTATAAAATAATGCAAACCAAAAAAGTTTATATAAAGAATAAAAAAATATAATCTCACCATTTTTTTTAGTCGATATATTTATAACTTCTATAATAAAACTTATGATGGAGTTGTGTTTGATTCGCTTGGAACCAAAATTAGAAAAAACTTATTTTTACTATTTTTGTCAGCACCTTTTTTTTTATAGCTGATCGACAAATCATCTGATCACACATCTGATCACACTATGGAGAAAATCACGCCCCTCTTCGGGGATAGTTTTTTTCGGTTAGTCAAAATCCATTTATCACACCGACAATCAGAATCTTGTCATATGAATGGCTATACTAATTTTTCGCCCCAGGTTCCCATTGGATCCGATGTGGAATTAGCTCTGATTCCATGTAATGACGGCAGAAGACATGGGTCCGGATGATTACAAATGATTACAAATAAAAAAATTCCAGATGTTGATCAATCGAACCCGGTTCACCAGCCGGAATCAATGGAACTAGGGGCTAAATTAGTATAGCCCCATATGAATAACCATACAAGATAGGAGTATGATTATTGCGAATATTTGAACAAAAATAATTAATATATTTAAGGTTAAACTTATTTCTCATGTTTTATAATTGAAAACTTAATATGGTAGAAAAATAAAACTATTAATTTTCAGGAGCTTTAGAATATCATTCAAAGTCACAACTCCTTATTATACTCCTCATCCTATTATTATGAAAGTTTTAAACATGCTCGTGTTAAAACTCTGGAATATAATCTCTATTGCGCTATACGATAGATTATTTTATAATCAGCCTTTATAGAATTATATACTTTATATAATGGAATATTCAATTAAAAAAATTAAAAAGCATGAGCATCTTGCCGCCGTTAATTAATAATGGCTCACCAAGTTAAAGTATATATATATATATGTATATGAACAGCTTCATAATTTTTTTTTTTTATTATCCAGGTTATATATACTACGAAGCTTAACGTTAGATCCTTTATTGGCGATTTCTTATTAGATTAACACATGCAGTTAAATGATCAGCATCATTGTCTATTTGACACATCAAAATCTAGAATCTTACTATGTTTAAAGTTTTAAATCGCGAAAGATTAACGTACATATTTTAAGTGTCGGAATATTCATATATGTAGAATAATTTGCAGATTAACAAAAATTATATATATATATCATTGAAAAGGTAAAAAGGGATGAAAGGCTGTTTAAACAACAGAAACGATAAGATGATTTTGAAATTACTGGAGAATTTTGAAATTAATGATTATATTTTATTGTTAAGTACAATATTAATTACATATGTAGCATATTATTATTATATATATTTTACTCGTATCAATCCTTTACCCGGTCCATTCCCATTCCCATTCATAGGTAATTTGCCTCAAATTTATTGGTTATTCAATGGAGATGCACAAATGTTTTACAATTATTGTTACGAAAAATATGGTGACATACATGAGTCTTACTTAACTTATTCGAGTTTTGCGAATGTAAGATCCATAGTTTTATGTCGAAGTGATTATCTTGAAAACTTTTTATCAGAAAAAAGTAAGCATTGGATGAGATTTCCCAATTGCAAAGGACCAGAAGAATTGGGAATTGAAGGAAGAGGAGTCGCGTTTAATACCAATTTTAAATCGTGGACACTTAATCGTCATTTTTTTTCACAGGCCATTCTGTCACCGAAATTTATTAATGAAGCTATTCATTGGACAAACGATCTTTTCATTGAACTAGAAAGTTATTGGAATAAATTATTTTTTAAAAAAGAAATTATCAAAGAAAACAAAAATATATTAGATATTTCTCAATGGTTTAATTATTACTCAACTGATTTGATTATTAAATTGTTAACTGGTGAAAGATCTTATTTAATGACAACTTATTATAATACTTTCATTGATGAAAAATTTGATCATCCATCAGCAATAGTCAATGATTCTGTGAAATTAGTTCAAGCACTTAATAAACATTTTACAGGATATTCAATGTTTTATATCATTTCTCCTTTCTTACGACGTTATATTCCATTTTTTAAAAATAAAGCAGAAGATATACTTCAGAACATGATATTTCTTAATCAAGTATTGAATGCAATTATTAAGAGACGTAGAAAAGAAATTGAAGATATACCATTGAATGAACCTCTACCACATGATATGTTGACATCGATGATTATCAAAAATACATTTCGTGATGTTAATTATATCGAAGCTGGTGAAATCGCGAGATCTATGACTGATACTGAAATTCGATTTAGTTTACTTGAAGGAATTATTGGTGCAGATTATAAAGTAAATTTTTTTATAAAAATATAAGTTTTGATTTATTTTACAATTTTAATATTATTTTTATTTTTTAACTTGAAATAATATTAACCATTCCTCTTTTTTTTTTAGAATGCGAATATGTTTTCATTCATTGTCTATTATATTTTAAAAAACCCAGATGTAAAAAAGAAATTGATAGAAGAAATTGATAGAATATTCCAAGATGATAAAACGCGATCAATTACTAAAGATGATTTTTATAGTTTAAATTATTGTGAAGCAATTGTAAAAGAAGTAGCTCGTGTTTTCCCAATAATACATACATTTGCAAGATGTATTGATAAACCCGATGAAATAGCAGGATATCAATGGCCAGCCGATACATTGTTCCGAATCTATATTGATGCTATTCATTATAATAAAGATTATTGGGAAGAACCTGATAAATTTAACCCTGATAGATGGATGGATGAAAATTTTGAGCCAAAGAAGAATTCTTTTATCATGTTTGGTGGAGGATTAAGATTATGTCCAGGAAGAAAGTTGGCAATGATTGAATTAATTTGTTTGATGGCTTTATTATTTAGGAAATATGAAATTAATTTAGTAAATACGGATTCTCCTATGAAAACTACGAATATCGGTTTTATAGTCGCTTGTGACGAATTATTAGTTGAAATGAAACCAAGAAACTGAATTTCTTATATTTATAAGATATATTGTATCATCTCTTTTATTTAAATATTTTTTTTTATTACTATATAAATAAATTGGCAACGTATATGTAATAGTTATTTCACGAGGAATTGTGGATTTTTTCACGGCTGTGCCGTGAAAATCTTGATGACTCCATGAAATAACTATTTATACCACGGTTTCCGAACATAAAATTAATAATGATAGGCTTATTATTCTAATATTGATAGATTTTCTATTTATTATTTTATATAATATATTATGTTGATTTTCAATTTTGTATGAAAATTTAAATATAGTTCGTTATACGACGATTACGGTCACAATACGACAATCTTGAGATGTGCGATCGTCAGAGTTTTTAACGATCATATGTAAATAATTTTGCAGATTACTAAAAATATAAATATCCCTGAAAATTGTTAAAGCTGAAGGAGCTGTCAAACAAGAGAAAAAAAAAGGAAATAAAAAAAAAAAGAGATGACTTTTAAAATTTAAATAATTAATGTTTTATTTATTGATATATATGTGACACTATTATTATACATATTTTATTACCAGTCTTGCGATCTTCCCATTCATATTTATTGGAGATACCGAAATGGTTTGTAATTATTATTGACATACGTGAGATTTATACGCTATAGTTTTATGTCGAGTAGAATATTTGAAATTTTTTGAATAAATACACATTGGATGAGACTTCTCAAATCGTGGATATTTGGTCGTAGTTACTGTATCATCCATCAACAAGAATCGAAGATCCTTTGAAATTATTTCAAGTTCTCCGTAATATTCTTATGGGATTTATCTACAAAATTATGTTCCGTTTTTTTAAAATTATATTCCGTTTTTTTAAATTATTTTCTGTTTATTTAAATTATGTTCCGTTTTTTTAAATAAAGCAGATACTTGAAATTTATTAACCAAAAACTGAGTGCAAATATTAAGAGTCGTAGACAAGAAATTGTAATACACCATTGAATAAACATTTCGTGATGTTAATTACATAGATTTGACTGATACCAAAATTCGCGTTAATTTATTTGATATTCTTAGTGGAACTTATAAAGTAAATGAATTTTATTAGAAATATCTTAATTTTAGATTTATTTTACAATTTTAATCATCGAAATTTAACGTAAATGTAATCTGCTTTAACTTTAATTATAATAACCAATTCCTTTTCTTTATCTCAAATAATAAATGTTCATTCATAGTATATAAAATTTGACCAATTACTAAAGATGAATGTTATAGTTTACTATATTATTTAAAATAAGGTCTTATTTATTATCTAATCGTAAAGAAATTGTAAAAGAAGTAGCTCGCGTCTTTTCAACTGTAACTTCGTCTGCAAGATATATTGATAAATCTAGTGAACGGATATCAATGGACAGCTGATACATTGTTTATAATTAATGTTAAAGCTATTCATAATGATGATTATTATTGGGAAGAACCTTATAATTTTAATCCTGATGGATGGATGGATGAAAATTTTGAGCCGAAGAAGAATTCTTTTATCATGTTTAATGAAGGATTAAGATTATGTCCAGGAAGAAAGTTGGCGATGATTGTATTAGTTTGTTTGATGACTTTAAATTCTTAGGAAATATGAAATTAATTTAGTAGATATGAATTCTCTAATTGTTTGTGTTGAATTATTAGTTGAAATTAAACCAGAAATTTGCTTTCTTGTATTATAGTCTTATTTACGATTTGTAAATTTTATGTGATTTATTATAAATAATACGGCATATTTATATAATAGGGTGCATATTACGTCGCCATCCATAGAGATATTTAGGTTTTGTAATTATTGGCGAATAATTTAAAAAGATTTATATAACAAATCACATTAATTGACAAACCGGACATGATCCAGTTGAATCTGCAAAGAGACTTCAGAGAAACCACAGCTCATTTATATATAATAACTCTTTTCATCTTCCGACGATCTTATGATGTAAGTTTTAAACATACTCACGTGTCAAATTCTGAAATTTACAAAATACTTCGGTGGTAGATCCTTAATTGAAAAGCATGAACATCTTGCTCTTCAATTACGTCTACGCTTAAATGATTTACTTTCTCGGCAAAAGAATAAATCATTTCTAATTTTTTTTTTTTAATTCTATTAATTTATTGTAGAAAAAAAAGTTCAAAAAAGCAACTTTATGTTAAATAAAATACAATTAAAATTATAGTACATCAAGATATATACATATATATACAGCTTTATAATTTTTTATTACTCAGGTTATACTGCGAAACATGACGATTTCTTTAATATTAAAAAAAGATCTGCCAAAATTAACCCCACATGCTGTTAAATGATGTCATACTGTGCGTCATCCTTATTATCTAATTGACGATCACACAATTTTGAAATAAGATTAGAAAAAGTTTAATCGTGAAGATAACATGATGTTGACGCTTGTTATTTTCAAATGTCAGAGTGATCATGTATGCAAAATAGATTGCAGATTATTAAATGCAACAAAAAAATAAGGAGACGTTAAACAAAAAAAGATAAGAAACTATAGAATGGCTTTGAAAGATTTTGAGAATTTTGAAATTGATTTTTTTTTTATTTTTAAGTACCATATTAACAGCCTACGTGACAAATTATTATTACACGTGTTTTACTCGTATCAACCCTTTATCCGGCCCATTCCTATTCCATTAATTGGTAATTTGCCTCAAATTTATTGGTGATTTAATGGAGATATCCAAATGTTTTGTGATTATCAGTTATTTTTACGAGAATTATATGATAGTAAACGTTCTATTATTTCATGTCGAGGAGAATATCTTGATAATTTTTTTATCTCTTGCGAAAAAATACGTTATTGGATGGGATTTCCCGATCGCAAAGGATAATATTATTCAATAATAATTTTAGATCGTGGATATTTCATTTTTTTAATCGAGCCATTCTGTTATCAAAATTTACTGATGAAGCTATTGATTGGATAAACAAACTTTTCGATGAATTAGATGCTATTGGAATAAGTTATTTCTTAAAGAAGGAATTATTAAAGAAAATAAAAATATATTGGGTATTCCTGGACGGTTTAGTCATTACACAAATGATAATGATGATTAAATTGTTAACTGGTGAAAGATCTTATTTAATGGCAGCTTATTTTGACATTTTTAGTGATGAAAAATCTGATTATCAATCGGCAATAATTAATGATTCTGTGAAATTATTTCAACCACTTCGTAAACAACTATTGGGTTTTATTTCCTTTTTAATTCCTTCTTTCTTACGACATTATTTATATTCTATTTTTTAAAATAAAGCGAATGATATGCTTCACGAAATGGGATTTATTAATCAAAAGCTAGATGCAATTATTAAGAGTTGTAGAAAAGAAATTGAAGTGGATGAACCCTTACCTCATGATATGTTGACATCGATGATTATCAAAAACACATTTCGTGATGATAATTATATCGAAAGTGGTGAAGTCAATAGATCTATGACTGATGACTACTGATATTGAAATTCGCGTTAATTTATTTGATGGAATTCTTAGTGGAACTTATAAAGTAAGAAAATTTTTTTAGAAATATCTTAATTTTAGGTTTATTTTACAATTTTAATCATTGAAATTTAACGTAAATGTAATATAGCCTACAAACGTGCTTTCATTCATCGTTTATTATATTGCACATTATCCAAATGTGAAAAAGAAAATGTCAGAAGAAATTGATAATATATTTCAAGGTGAGAAAATGCGACCAATCACAAAAGATAATTTTTATAGTTTAAATTATCGTAAAGCAATTGTAAAAGAAGTAACTCGCGTTATTTCAATAGTACACTCATTCGTAAGGTAGATAATAAATCCGATGAAATAGCAGGAATCGGTTTTGATTCATGTTAAAGCTATTCATAATAAAAATTAAACCTAATAAATTAAGCACTGATAGATGGATGGATGAAAATTTTGAGCCAAAGAAGAATTCTTAATCATGTTTGGACTTTGGTGGAGGATTATGATTATGCCCGGGAAGAAGTTAGCAGTGCAATGATTGAATTAGTTTGTTTGATGGCTTTATTGTTTAGAAAATATGAAATTAATTTAGTAGGTATGAATTCTTCAATTAAAACTACCTGTGACGGTATTTTAGTTTCTTGTGTCAAATTATTAGTTGAAATTAAACCAAGGAATTATATTTATTTAAAGATTATTTGTACAGTATATAACAGATAATACTATATATATACAGCGCGCAACGGTCACAATGTTACACGTAATTTTTACCTGTAATTTATTCTATGCTGGTCAGGACTCAGGACTGAAATATAAATTATTTAAGGTTAAATTTATTTTGACTTGTTTGTTTTAGCTTAAGGTTTCGCAAAATTTAAATGTACGTAACGAAGCAAATACATTAATTGGCCCTGTAAAAATTTTATCCGTGAAAATAAAAATCTACTAAATTCCGTGCATATGATACATTTACGGAATAAATTTTTTTATTGGGTGACAAACTAGAACAAATTATATCGTTTTTTTGATTCACCAAATTGTGTAACTGATCGCTACATCTTTTTTGAAGTTTATCATAGATAAAGAATATAATACCTTTTTTGATTCGTTAAATGAACTTTTTTTGATCAATTACGTGATTTTTTTTGATTCGTGTAACCTGTACAACTAATAATTCAGGCTTTTTTGTACGATAAAAGGTTGATAAAAGGAAATCTATCCGGAGAAAAATTTTTTTTTTTGTTGTAATAAAAACACGCATCATAATAATGAAAATAACTAGAGAACATGTTATATACTGGTTATACAATATTGATGGTTTTGGTCGTACGGTATAGTGGTATAAGGTATGCCGTTTAAAAAACACCAAAGTCGTCAAAGAACTACACAGCTTATTAAAGAGTGATTTATAGAAGTTAAACGTACTAGATGCTATTGACTTTTTAAGCAAGGTGATGTAAAATCAACGAATAGAATAGATGATTATTAATTCCAAAATTGTCAAAACAGATCTTATAAAGGAAATTTAAAAAATGTTAATGATATGCATTTATGCAAAGTTAGGGTAATTTTAGGGTGGCAACTTTCATGGACCACTCCTTTAAAGATAACAATCCAAGGCTCTCACGTTCCGCATAATTTTCCGATTAACAATCACGAAGTTACACGTATTAATAATTTGGTCTATCAAACAAGGGATATGGTTTTTAAGGACATCATGCTGATCATCAATAAGGTAAAAATTCTTGCTCCTTTAAATGGAGCATCAGAAGAAAAAATCGGAGAAGCCCTTAATAATCAACAAAATTTATGCTCTAGTATGCTCTAATGACAAGCATAGGAAATTAACTACTCGAGATTATAAACGTTTAAAAGATAATGGGGGACCTTGGACTGACCTTGGCATGACCAATTTTGCATATGGTTGAAAGATATTAAAGCCGAACGGGTTTGTATTACATTATTAAATAGAAAATCCAAATGAATCTGAAAATTCTCCAGCAAAGTATTATCAATTAACGGTATCTGACGAAATGGAAGAGATTTTGGTAAAGTTTGCATTGGATTAGATGAAATATGACCTTAGCATAGATCGAGCACCTATATTATCAATAATTGTTGAAGATAATGCTGGTTGTGGCATTTGGTAATTATTCTATTGATTTATTATATTTTTATATTCAAAATATTGTGCTGAATTTTCTCTTTTTTTTTTTAACTTTAAGCAATAAAGAAAATCATAGTATGACAATACGTATGGCTATTTTGGTAGTAAAACGAAATATTCCATGCAATGATAATAATCATTGGTATTAAGAAGATTTGAGTTTTGTCCATGTCACAAAATAATTTGTGGAATCCATACTTTATGATTGACAAACACAGACCATCAAAAATTGAAATAGAAGGTTTGTTATGCAAACACTAAGCAACAATCTTAAGAATGGCAAATTTCAAAATAATTAATATTTGATAAATTAATTAATTCTAAGAATAATACCGAGATTAAATATAATTTATTCATTAGAAATCCAATTGCGGACGATGTTAATCAGATAATATTTCGTATGATTTTTCCTTTAGTCCGAAGGATTATATACTTCTACACTTGATGACGTGATGTCCATGAATAAGCATGGTAAAATAAATTGGCTGAAAAAGCAATTCAAGAAGCTGGTGGAATACGATCAAATTATTATGCTGTTAATATAATAACAGGAGAATCATATTTAGATTATACTTGGAATGGATCATTCCGTGATGTTTGTAAACATGTTCATGCAGTTCGTATATATCATGTTTTTTAAGATCACAAAATCAAAGTGAATTTATTGAAAATATAAAATATGAATTAGTTACATATTTCAAAGATAAACAACGAGTTTTACCAAGTTCTAATAAGAATTTATTAATTTATAATGGAAGTGTTGCATATCAGGAAATAATTCGTCTTTATAATTTACAAGGTATATGTTAAAAATCCATTTATCAATAATTATTTATATTTATATACTGTACTTAATTATTTCATATTTATATACTTAGGAAATTTAATCTTTAATTCAAATGAACGTCCTACAAATCATATAAATGAACCTTTTCGACCTAATGATCAAATACTCGTGCATTAAGTAATATGTCTCCATCAAATGACATGCCATCAATACCATCACAATCACCATCACCACCAAATGCAATACGTTTACCACTACTATCAAATACAATGCAATTACGATACCATCAAATACACGATCACCATTACCACCAAATACAACACGATCACCATCATTAAACGTACTATCATTAGATGTTGCATTACATGATGGAATATACGAAAAAAATAATGTACAGTATTATAAATAATTAAATAATTATTTAATTTATTTAATAATAAGTTCTTTGATTTTTTAGAATAAAGAAAACATAACAATTATCAAATGTTTTTGATAATGCTGATCTATTTTGCCAAGTCCAAAAAGCCTAGACTTATCGAATATAATAATTTTAATTTGATGAGTTAGAATATTCATTAGAAAGGAAAGTGAAGATCAAAGTACGTATATATTAAAATAATTCTAAACTAATGAATTTATTAAAATTCAATACGATTGATTATTGTTCTTTATTATTACAGATATTTGTCCTTTTTGTGACGAAATTTTACCTAATCCAATGCCTTATAAGACGAAATTAGTATTAGATCAATTAAATAAAATCAAGGTAATTGGAATCATATAATACATTATTCGAATTATTATTGTTTATTAATATTAAATAAAATATTTAGGAATGATTTCAGAATCAGATTGGATAAATTTCTGTTATTTCCATTACGCAGAACTACTATCTCAATAACAAACATCTTAATTGATTCGTTTTTAACTTCTCGTATTCTAATTCTTCCATTGAAACCATGTAATTAAATTTAGCAATATTAGAAATATTGATGGCAATAGTTCTCTGGAAACTGCATGGCAATTATAATAAATAATAGTGATGATACTAGTAGTGATTTTGGTGAATATACACTTAATATAAAATTAAAACTACTATTAATTAATAAAAAATTTTAATTGGTATTGCAGCATATTATTTCGTCTTTTGTCGTACAAAAAATTCTGAATTATTGGTTAAAGTACATTTAACGAATCAAAAAAGTACACGTGCTGAATCGAAAAAAAGCACGTTTTTGAATCAAAAAAAAGGTATATTCTTTATCTCGTGATAAAATAAAAAGGTGTAGCGATCAGTTATACAATTTGGTGAATCAAAAAAGTCCGTCTTTTGATTATATTTGTCAAACTGGATATCATGATACAGCTGAATCTGTCAAGAAGCTGCCCTCTTGGTTATAATGCTGCCTTTATTATGTAAGTTTTCAACATGCTCACACGCCAATTCACAAAATACTCAAGTCGCTTTATACGGTAGATCCTTGCTTCGTATTTTTTATTATCCACGAAATTAATGTTATTTTAATATCTGATATTGATTATGTCGACGATTCCTTGTTGAGCTGCTAACGTAATAAAAATCACACAAATCTGGAAAATCCCAAATTTTAACTGGATAACTATGTAGATCTCCGCCGAAGGAATTCTTGCAGAAATCTCAATTATATAAGTAGTTTCCTTATGAACAAGTTTTATATCACTACAAGCAAAACTACTTAAATAGCTGAAAATACCTCTGGTAATTACACTTCTTTCCAGGCTACCAGATTTATGAAAAACATTTCCTTAGGGGATGACGTACAGGGGTCGCACTAATTCGATAACAAAATTTTACCACATGCAGTTTATTGAGTTGGTAATATTTAATTAGAGGGAAGATTATGATACTGTATATTATGAATCGGCGTGTCATACATTTCCTCATTATAATTGACGATCACACATGCTTTATTATTATTTTAAATGTTGATATACTAAATACAAAGAAAAAAAGTATAAATATCCCTGAAAAAGTTAAAGCTGCTTTCTTCAGCAACAAGAAAAAAAGAATAAAATAAAACGTTAAGATGTTTTTAACTATTAATTTTGTTTTATCATTGCTAAGTACAGGATTAATGACATCTGTAGCATATTATTATTACAAATATTTTACTCGTGTTAATCCTTTACCTGGTCCTTTCCCATTCCCATTCATTGGTGTTCTTCCTTATGTTATTTGGTTTAAAGGAGATATTGAAATGTTTTATAATTATTGTTACGAGAAATATGGTGACATATACGAGATTAATGGTAGTTTACGATCTATAATTTTATGTCGAGTAGAATATATTGAAGATCTTTTATCAAAAAGTACATGTGAGATGAGATGTCCCAATTACAAAGGAATAGAAGAATTGGGAATTGAAGGAAAAGGACTAACATACAATAATAATTTTAAGTCGTGGGCATTTAATCGTTATTTCTTTAATCAAGCTATTTTGTCACCAAAATTTACTAATGAAGTTATTTTTTGGACAAACGAACTTTTCAATGAATTAGAATATTATTGGGATAAGTTATATCTTAAAGAAGAAATTATTAAAGAAAATAAAAATAAATTGGATTTTATTAAATGGTTTAGTCATTATAAAAATGATGTGATTATTAAATTGTTAACTGGGGAAAGATCTTATACAATGGCAGCTTATTTTAGTACTATTAGCAATGAAAAATCTGGTTATCATCCAAAGAGAGTCGAGGGTTCTGTGAAATTAGTTCAAGCAATTCGTAAACTTCATAGGGGATATGTCTTTTTTTTCTTAATTCCTTCTTTTTTACGACGGTATGTTCCGTTTTTAAAAACTATGTCAGATGATATATTTCAAACAATGGATTTTATTAATCAAAAACTGAATACAATTATCAAGACACGTAGAAAAGAAATTGAAGATGCATCATTGGATGAACCCTTACCTCATGATATGTTGACATCGATGATTATCAAAAATACATTTCGTGATGTTAATTATTTCGAAACTGGTGAAGCCAGCAGATTTATGACTAACAGTGAAATTCGCGTCAATTTACTTGATGGATTTTATAGTGGAACTTACAAAGTAAATTTTTTTTTTATTTTTTTAGATAAATTTTATGCTTTATTTTACAAATTTATAGAATCGTCGAAATTCAACATAAATACAATATGCTTTACTTGAGATTATATTAACCATTCCTTTTGTTTTTTATTTCAAAAATAGTCGGCAAATTTACTTTCATTCATTATCTACTATATTGCACATAATCCAAATGTGAAAAAGAAAATGTTAGAAGAAATTGATAGTATATTCCAAGGTGATAAAATGCGATCAATTACTAAAGAAGATTATTATAGTTTAAAATATTGTGAAGCAATTGTAAAAGAAGTAGCTCGCATTCTTCCAACTATGCGCTTTTCAAGATATACTGATAAACCTAGTGAAATAGCAGGATATCGATGGCCAGCTGACACAATGTTTCAAATTAATGTTAGTGCCATTCATAATAACGATGATTATTGGAAAGAACCTAATAAATTTAACCCTGATAGATGGATGGATGAAAATTTTGAACCAAAAAAGTATACTTATATCGTGTTTGGTGAAGGATTAAGACTATGTCCAGGAAGAAAGTTAGCAATGATTGAAGTAGTTTGTTTGATGGCTTTATTGTTTAGAAATTATGAAATTAATTTAGTAGATATGAATTCTCCTATTAAAACTATGAGTGACGGTATTTTAATTTCTTGTGTCGAATTATTAGTTGAAATTAAACCAAGAAATTGATTTCTTATATTTAAAAAAATGTACTAGTACTGACTATATATCTAAATGAATCAATGTATATTATTGTATAAATGAATTTATGAATTTATAATTTTATATATACCGCAGCGACACGTAATGTACTATCGGTTATGATAGGTAGCAAGTGCGTAACGTAAGATAGTTAATTTTTCATTGACTGAAATATATAGAGCTAGAGCGCTTACAAATAATTATACTGGTATGTAAGTTTAAACATACTCACGTGTCAAAACTTAAGTTTACGAAATACTGCAGCTGCGTTATACGGTAGATCCTTATGAAAAAAAAAATCTAGCCACCAAAATACATGTATGCATACAGCTTCTTCTTGTTATTAAAATAAAAGATCTGCTTCCTTAATTTATTACATAATATCAGATATACGCATTTATTTCATTATTTGACAATAATAATAGCAAAGATTAAGGCAGGAATTGTTGCGAAAGGGTGGTTCAGTTATTGACTCGACTCGGATTGGGGTCGCATGATTTGATGACAATAACCCGCATGAACTCGACCCGACCCGTCGAGTCGGGTTATACCTTCACTTTAACCCGGCGACCCGAATCTTTTTATTATATTTTAACTAAAAATTTCAATTTTTTTATATTAAATACAACTTGACGGGTCGAACCCGGGTTATCCGAGTCAGACTATAATCATTAGTACTTTTACACTCAGGTCGAGTTCGAATACACCTCAAAACCCGACCCGACTCGACCCCTTCGGAACACTAAATTTTGCGTCAAGAATTTTATTGTTATGAAATTACTGCGTGGTAGATCAGATGATCACAAATGCCATTTTACCGATTGACTTGCCATTCATCACCAAAAATTTGTAATTCTAAGCTTAATCGTTCTTTAGATTTTTTAAGGGGAATTGCTCATAACATTTCTATGTAATTATCATTTTAAAATAAAGAAAATTTTATAGCTTTTAAAAAAATTGTAGGCCTATTTAGTATTTACTTCAAATTGCAATAATAAAATTAAATTTATTCAATAATAAATAACATCACCATTTTTGTTTGTTTTTTTATTTATTAGGAAACGATAAATAAACAATATAAAATATATTTTTTAGTAAAAAATAAAATAATTAGGATATTTTTCAAAAAACTTTAAAGGCTTTAAAGGCAAAATTTTCATACGATCATCATATCTCTATCGGCAAAATAGTGGTGGTTTGGCAAAGTAAATTTTGAAACAGATATCAGTGAATAAGTATTATTAATTTTATTGTTATATATTTTATATGGTATTGTTATTTTTCAGTATTAGTATTATATATTTTTATATTTATTCAAATCCTTACCTGTAAAAAAAGTCGATCTGTTTTTTGTATTCCATCTTTTTCCGTAAAAGGCTCATATTTCCGGAATTAATAAGGGCAGTGACATTATTAGCTAATACTAGTTCTATAAGGGGTCTTACCCCCACCCCAAGTAAGATTTTTTTTAACCAATAATATTCAATTATATATATAATACTAATTTTTAACCAATAAAAATGTGTCATGTAAGATTTTGCTTAACCCCCACCCCAAAATATTAGCTAATATATGTCATGGCCCTAACCTTATCACGGAATTTTATCGGATTATTTTCGTTTTCCGTGAATGGATCCGTGAAAGGCTCGTTTTTACGGAGGTTTTATAGAAATAACGGATAAAATTTTTTATAGGGCTTTATTATTTTTGAAATGTTATTTTATTTTAAATTTTGTAATCAAATAATCTTTTGGCAGTCATTTGTAATAGTTATTTCACGGATATCAGAATCATAATATTCCAAAGTGACTCCGTGAAATAACTGATTTATATATCACGATCATCCCTTTAATATATACTTATTTTGACTAATAATGATATACTTTTTATTCCAATATTGATAGACTTTTTACCCCTCTTTTTAAATAAACACCATCCGTGAGAATATCAAGAAAAAATCATGAATTTTAACTAGAAACCATGGGATAAAAGGAATTATGTTATTAAATATAAATAAAGTAAAAAAGAAATCATTTATTAAATCCAGTAAAATGTCTATTCGAGAAAATTAGAGTTTCGGAAAATGATCCAATTCTGGAAATGAGCAATCGGAAAATTGATTTCGGGAAATGGGTATGTTCAAGAAAATGACATTCGGGTAATCGTACTTGTAACCAATTTTTAAGTCTATCAATTAAAGAAAAAAAAAAATCCATTAACAGTTAATAATATTTAAATGAGATAGTGATATTTAATTGACGATCACACATCTTGAATCAATTTTAGTTATTTAAATGTCGGATAAAATGATTTGCAAATTACTAAATACAGCAAAAGAAAATATAAATAGCCCTGTAAAAATTAAGTTAAAGAAGCTAGCAACTGTTCAGCAACAAAAAAAAGGAAATAAAATAAAGAAAAGAGAAACGATAAGATGATTTTTAAACCATTTGAGGATTTTGAAATTATTAAATTTGTTTTATCATTGTTAAGTACAGTATTAATGACATATGTGGTATATTATTATTACAAATATTTTACTCGCGTTAATCCTTTACCTGGTCCTTTCCCACTCCCATTCATTGGTATTTTTCCTTATGTTATTTGGTTTAAAGGAGATATTGAAATGTTTTATAATTATTGTTACGAGAAATATGGTGACATATATGAGCTTAATAATTTTATACGATCTATAGTTTTATGTCGAGCAGAGTATCTTGAAGATGTTTTGTCAGAAAGTACTCATGAGATAAGATTATGTTTCGAAGGACTAAAAGACTTGGGAATTGGAGGGAAAGGAATGACGTGTAATAATAATTTTAAGACGTGGATATTTAATCGTCATTTTTTTAATCAAGCTATTTTTTCACCGAAATTTACTAATGAGGTTATTGATTGGACAAACGAACATTTCAATGAATTAGAAAGTTATTGGGATAAGTTATATTTTAAAGAAGAAATTATTAAAGAAAATAGAAATAAATTAGATTTTATTAAATGGTTCGATCATTACACAAATGATATGATTATTAAATTGTTAACTGGGGAAAGATCTTATTCAATGGCAGCTTATTTTCATACTCTTAGTGATGAAAAATCCGATCACCCACCAGCAATATTCAATGATTCTGTAAAATTATTTCAAGCATTTCATACTCTTCATGTGGGATGTTTCTTCTTTTCAATAATTTCTCCTTTTTTACGACGGTATGTTCCATTTTTAAAAAGTATAGCAGATGATATACTTCAAAACGTAAATTTTATCAATCAAAAACTAGATGCAATTATTAAGAGACGTAGACAAGAAATTGAAGATACACCATCGAATAAACCCTTATCCCATGATATATTGACATCGATGATTATCAAAAATACATTTCATGATAATTATATCGAAACCTATGAAATCAATAGATCTATGACAGATAGTGAAATTCGAGCCAATTTACTAGATGGAATAACTAGTGGAACTTATTATAAAGTAAATTTTTAGAGAAATTCTTTTCTATTTTGCAATTTTAAATCATCGAGATTTAGCATAAGTACAATATGTTTAACTTGAAATTATATTAACAATTCCTTTTTTTACTTCAAATATAGTCGGCAAATTTGCTTTCATTCATTATCTATTATATTGCACATTATCCAAATGTGAAAAAGAAAATGTTAGAAGAAATTGATCGTATATTTAAAGGTGATAAAGTGCGATCAATTAATAAAGATGATTTTTATAATTTAAAATACTGTGAAGCAATTGTGAAAGAAGTAGCTCGCGTTCATCCAATTATGCACATGAATATAAGACATATCAATAAGCCTAATGAAATAGCGGGATATCAATGGCCAGCTGACACATCGTTTCTAGTTGATATTAAAGCTATTCATAATAGCGATAATTATTGGAAAGAACCTAATAAATTTAACCCTGATAGATGGATGAATGAAAGTTTTGAGCCAAAGAAAAATTCTTTTATCATGTTTGGTGGAGGATTAAGATTATGTCCAGGAAGAAAGTTGGCAATAGTTCAATTAGTTTGTTTAATAGCTTTATTGTTTAGAAAATATGAAATTAATTTAGTAGATATGAATTCTCCAATTAAAACTACGTGTGACGGTATTTTAATTTCTTGCGTCGAATTATTAGTTAAAATTAAACTAAAAAATCGATTTTCTTACTAAATAATGTACTGTAATCCATAAATGAGTTTATAATTTTATATATGTTGTAACATAATGTGAATTTCACATCAAATCCGTTTCACATAAATTGTTTACAATAATAATGAGTTTTTTTAAAAGTGTAATTATTTAATTATAGAGTATAAAATTTTACATTTTATCTATTTAAACATTTGTTAATCTGTAAAATATCCTTTATCCAATTTTGATCTTTAACAGTTCCTATTTTTGTATTATTAGGTTCGCGAAGTTTGAGATAATAAGTTCATAATCATTACGAGAAATGAAAGCCTTATGCTGCTATACTATCTATTAGAGGATTTTTTTTCAAGATACTTATTAGCCATATCATCAAAAAGTTTTTTAGGAAAAAAGGGCATTCTTCTTAGTTTGACACGGCAATATATAAAATCGGTTACGGTACATTTCCATTTCACTTAAACCCATTTCGCCGAAGCCATTTCACCGAAGGGATATTTCACCGAAGGGACATTTCGCCGAAAATGATAGCGATTAACATTTTAACAAAAATATTCATCGCGCAATGAAAATTAAAATTTAATTATTTTTAGAGATTTTTTTTTCCAGGATATTATCACTTTAACATTCAAGTAACTGTTGTTAATTGTTAAGAAATAAATAAATAACTTTATTTCCCTGAAAATATTTATTCACGAAAAAGTAAGTAAAATAAAGATTAATATATTATATTCAACGAGATAAATTTAATAAAATCAGCTAATTCAAAAATTTTTCTAGAAAACACTTCTTTACGTATTTAGTATAAAAACAATAAAATAACCAAATGGAATAAATAACTTATCGGCGAAATGTCCATTCGACAAAATGTCTTCGGCAATATGGAATTCGGTTAAATTAGAATTCGGTGAAATGGTATTTGCGAAACGCCTTTCGGCGAAATATCCCTTCGGCGAATTGGGTTTCGGTGAAATAGACTTCGGCGAAAAGTCCGGATACCTATAAAATTTTTAGTGTTGGTCTCCGTAAATAGTTGTAAGTCCAAAAGTCAAGTAAATATAATGGTTGTAAATCAAAATTATCATCTTTTAGCTAACAATAATAGTGTAGTATTTACGGCCAATTTACAACTTACGTTTATAATATTACAACCGCTAAAGGTTGTAATTCGATATATAATAATCGTTACTTACGGTAACCAACCTTATTATAAAATCATGTGCTATGATCACGTAACATGATTTGATTCCAGCAGTATGACATTTAAATGGAGAGATTCATTTAATAAATTCAGAAGAAAATATTGATGGAACAATTGAAGAATAGGATTTTAACATCATTTTAAATATCAAATTAAATAGGTAATATATTTTTTTTTTTTGAAAATTCTTGATTATTGAGCAGAAACAAATTAAAATGTTCAGATTTCACGAAACGACTCGCACGAATCGAGCTTCATGTGGGATTTTTTTCATTTTTTTTTTGCTTAATAAAAAATCATTCTTGTAAAAAAAATCAATTTTTATAATAAAAAAATTCAAATTTTTTCACATTTGCATCGCTAATTCACTATGAGCAATTGATTCTAAAATCCGCAAAACTGAGTAAACTAGAAAAATTTTTTATGGTGGCCTTAAATGTTAAATAAAGAAAATATTATCATATAATAAATATAAAATTAATAAATAAATTAATAACACTAATAAATAAAATTAATAATAAAATAAAATTAATAATAAATAAAATTAATAAAAGAAAAACAAACAATAAAGATAAAATAATAAAATGGTCACGGAACCAGCTTGGTACAAGTAAGTTCGAGTCAGTCAAGTCGGTTCAAGTCGGTTCAAGTTCGCATCTGAACGAACCGAGCTGAGAGCCCATGAGCCGACTCCAAAACCGTGCCCGAGTTAGAGTTTTCTCATCACGAGTGATTTACTGAGCCACTTTGCTAATGTATTTTTTTACTCCCTTTTTACCTGCTATTTTTTTAAAAAAGAATGATAACCTCTTTTTATAACCAATATCACAATAATGTAGATTTCCCCAATGGATTTTTAATAAAATAAAATCTACACAGGAAATTGCATCATCAAATATATGAAAAGGTTCTCTAAATATAAAAGATCTGCGCCAAGGTTATCAAATATTAATGAGGCGAGATGAAATACATTTCCCCCAGTGTGTGACTGACGATCACACATCTTAAATAAATTTAGAATGACATGAGGTAGTGCTGTTGATATTTTCAAAATACTACAACAAAAAAATATATAAATATCCCCAAAAAGTTAAAGGAGCTGAAGCATTGTTCAGCCACAAGAAAAAAAAAATAAAATAAATAAAAGAGAAACGATAAGATGACTTTTAAACCATTAGAGAATTTCGAAATTAATAATTTTGTTCTACCATTGTTGAGTACAGTATTAATGACATATGTGGTATATTATTATTACAAATATTTTACTCGCGTTAATCCTTTACCTGGTCCTATCCCATTCCCATTCGTTGGTATTCTTCCTTATGTTATTTGGTTTAAAGGAGATATCAAAATGCTTTATAAATATTGTTACGAGAAATATGGTGACTTGCATGAGATTAATGGTAGTTTACGATCTATAGTTATATGTCAAACAGAATATCTTGAAGATTTTTTATCAAAAAGTACATATGAGATGAGATGTCCCAATTACAAAGGAATAGAAGAATTGGGAATTGAAGGAAAAGGACTATCGTACAATAATAATTTTAAGACGTGGACATTTAATCGTCATTTTTTTAATCAAGCTATTTTGTCACCAAAATTTACTGACGAAGTAATTGATTGTACAAACCAACATTTCAATGAATTAGAAAGTTTTTGGGATAAGTTATATCTTAAAGAAGAAATTATTAAAGAAAATAAAAATAAATTGGATTTTATTAAATGGTTTAGTCATTATAATAATGATATTATTATTAAATTGTTAACTGGGGAAAGATCTTATACAATGGCAGCTTATTTTAATACTCTTAATGATGAAAAATCTGATCATCATTCAGCAAGAGTCGAGGATTCTGTGAAATTATTTCAAGCAATTCGTAAACTCCATAAAGGATTTTTCTTTGTTTTCATAATTTCTCCTTTTTTACGACGTTATGTTCCGTTTATAAAAAATATATCAGATGATATATTTCAAACAATGGATTTTATTAATCAAAAACTGAATACAATTATTAAGACACGTAGAAAAGAAATTGAAGATACACCATTGGATGAACCCTTGCCTCATGATATGTTGACATCGATGATTATCAAAAATACATTTCGTGATGTTAATTATATCGTAATTGGTGAAGCCAATAGATCTATGACTGATAGTGAAATTCGCGTCAATTTACTTGATGGATTTTTCAGTGGAACTTACAAAGTAAATTTTTTTTAGAAAAATTTCATTTTTATCTTACATTATCGAAATTTAACAAATATGCAATGTGCTTTAACTTGAAATTATATTAACAATTCCTTTTTTTTACTTCAAATATAGTCAGCAAATTTGCTTTCAATCATTATCTATTATATTGCACATAATCCAAATGTGAAAAAGAAAATGTTAGAAGAAATTGATAGTATATTCCAAGGTGATAAAATGCGACCAATTACTAAAGATGACTATTATAGTTTAGAATACTGTGAAGCAATTGTAAAAGAAGCAGCTCGCATTCTCCCAATTATGCACACGTTTACAAGACATCTTAGTAAACCTAGTGAAATAGCAGGATATCAATGGCCAGCTGACACATCGTTTATAATTAATGTTAAAGCTATTCATAACAGAGTTGATTATTGGAAAGAACCTAATAAATTTAACCCTGATAGATGGATGGATGAAAATTTTGAACCAAAGAAGAACTCTTTTATCATGTTTGGTGGAGGATTAAGATCATGTCCAGGAAGAAAGTTAGCAATGATTGAATTAGTTTGTTTGATGGCTTTATTGTATAGAAAATATGAAATTAATTTAGTAGATATGAATTCTCCAATTAAAACTATGTGTGACGGTATTTTAATTTCTTGTGTCGAATTATTAGTTGAAATTAAACCAAGAAATTGATTTTCATATATTTAAAAGCACGTTATGATTTAAATATATATATATTTTTATTATTATGTAAATCAATGTATATATATTATTAGTTTAAATGAACTATATACCGCAGTGGTACGCAATGTACAGTATAGTACTGTGTCACACTTGTAATTTTTTATTTATTCTATGCTGCTGTTGTGCATTATTACGGAATATTTTACAGGTTAGATTTTGTGATTATTAATTAGTGAATAATTTAAACAACGCTTGTAAGTAATTACAGTATATTATTTATATTATTTAGTAAGGTTAAATTTGATTCTGACTTGTTTATTTGTATTTTGTTCATTTACCGGTTATTAAGGTTTCGCAACATTGAAAATATACGTAACGGAACGAACGTAACCAACCAAATTAATTGACAAACTGGATATGATACAGCTAAATCTATTAAGAAGCTGCGGAATATCGTTCAAAACCAAAGCTCTTTTAGTTATAATACTCCTTTCATTTTCTGGCGACCTTATTATGGAACTTCAGCCGCGTAGATCCTTATAAAATAAAAAAAAGTATGGCACACCAATATATATATGCATACAGCGTCGTATTTTTTTATTATGATCCAGATTATATTACGAATTTAATGTGACTAGACAGATGATTTCTTGTTGTTAAACAAAAAATCTGCTAAAGTCCTTGTTGAACTATTTCTTGAAGTCAATTTTTTTGAATGCTCATTTCAAACTTGGATCATTTCCGAAATTCAAATTTTCCGAATGCTCAATTTCCTGTTTCCAATATCTAGACTACTTTATTTAAATATATTACATA